CTGGAATGATGGAAGTCATAGTATTTTCGAGTATATATCTATTGTCTTATTTTCAACTGACAGTCAGTGGCAACCTGAAAATTGTCATCAATATTCATGGAATTCAGTATCATGAATGGCCCTCATGAGTATTTGTTTTATTTTAGAGCTCGTAGATTTGACAATGAATTGCTTTGAACAACTGATGATCATCACGAAAATATTTTTCCGTTTTCGTAATTTCACGTATTAAGAAGGCATAAAATAGCCAACAACATTATTTTTTCAGAAACCTCTGAAATCATCACATTGAAGTGGCAGTTGACACTTTGAACTCACAATAATTGTAACTTTGAACTTCTATAACAATAATCGTTACTTTGAACTTACAGTTTTCATTTTTAACTGACAATAATTATTCTCGTCCATGTTTGCTCGTAGTGGAGTGGAATTTTTAAAAGAGAAGACTGGAAGCTCAAAGTCATCTCTACTTTTTTAATGATGTGAATTATTCAAGGAAACATGTTTCGTTCTTATGAAAGTTCATCTTCAGCCCCATTTAAAAGTTGAAGATTTGTACTAGCTGCATACATCTAACAAATCAGTCAAATGAGGTAACTTTGTACTTCATGTACAATTTTATCAATTATTCGCAGAGCACTGTTGGCTTATAGGCTATCAGTGCTACTATATTCGTCAAGTACTCAGAAAAAGGTACAGCATTATGGTACGAACGGTAGTAAGAACAGACGTACATTCAACAAATGAGTACCCCAATGGGTTATTGTATAAAATTCTCAAAAATATCATAGAATTTCATGTTCAGGTCTAAAGGAGAGCACGAGAAACCTCAACTTTGTTTAGTCCGACAGAATAAATGGGTTAAAAGTTGTTAGTTATACTATATATACTTCGTTGATATGTATGTACATACCGACTGTTCATCGACCTTACGAGAGGCCCTTCAGCCCATGTGTGTTCCATATAGGCTTTGTTACTAACTTCAAACGCCACCTTAGAAGCAGCACTGTTAATTTTTTAATCAAAATCAGAGCTCATTTCAAACGTCAAACGTCATGACCGCCATTTAGCGATACGTCGAGTAAATGGTTATGTCAGTTTTTATGCTGTTTCGTTATTGTTCAGATAATCTTCCATTTCCACTTATGAAGCAAGATTGTCAAGTCACCAATTATTATCTATGTAGTTATCGAAAAGATGTTTGAGTCCAGTCGTTGAATAAAACATAATAGGAGGAACTCATGACAATATAGTTTCTTCTTGACTTTTTCGAGCAACTAGCATGTCCAAATATTTATCATTCTCCATAACAAAATATCATGTGAATGTTGGAGACTTGGCAACATTGTGCTGAATGCTGAGAACTGACAAGACCACGACCACGAGTCGTGCACGGGATTGTCACGTTCACCGAAACGAATGTCCTCTAGTGTAAATCAATACAATTATTATTTACACAAATTTATCATGAACTATAAGCCACAAATCATAAGGAAACATTTTGAGACAATTGCATTTTCATTGCTAATCAGGAATATTACCAATACTCCATTGATAATTCATGAATTATTGAATAACTATAATATTCCTGAAGTTCCCAATCGTATTTCAACACATGGCAACCGTGCTATGAGCTCCCTCTACTCACGATATCGTTGCGTTTTTCGAGGTTATGAGGTCCTTATTGTATTTCTCGCAACATAATAATGGTTTTTTCATTAGTGTTACCTTGCAAATGCTCGTCAAGCTTCCCTTTTTGGTACTTGACATTTGGTTTATAATATAGGTGCACGCACTCTCCGGCTCCTTCATGTTTATGGAAACCCGTTTGTTCTCAACTTTTTTGAAAACTTTTTCGAAACTGTTTCACCTTCATGTAGGTCAGCTTTTGATTTTTCTGATTAGTATATATTTTCACCATGTCTGCTTATAGTAACTTTCAAATTGGGCTGATGATGTAAAAGTCCGAAACATGTCCCCTTGAATGATTCACGTCATCAATAGTGTGGAGAGTACTTTCAGCTTTCCTTCTTCCCTTTGACCATAATTGTTACTTTGAATTAACATTTGTCACTTTGAACTGACAAGGAATTTCCTTTCGTATGCTACAAGAGATACAAAAAAATTGTCACTCCGAACTGAAAATTATTACTTTGAACTGGCAAATGTCACTTCGAACTGACAATAATTGTCATCTCGAACTGACAATGATCATCTCGAACTGACAATGGTCATCTTGAACTGAGAACTGACAACGGTCATCTCGAACTGATAAGCCAGATAACACCAAAGTTGCAATTGATGTGAGTTGAAAGTTCGAAGTGGCAATTGTCAGTTCAAATTGACAATTGTCACTCAAAAGTGGCAACTCCAAAAGATTAAAAAACAATAAAGTTGTTAGCCATTTTACGCCCTGGTATCCTGTTGAAAGGCAAACGAAAAAATATTTTCTATGATTCCAATGAATATTAACGTGAGATATATGTATATGTTATATTATTCTTATGTGTTTTATGAAGAAAATAAATAATTATGTATTTGGGTGTGTTTATCAATTGAGGTGATGGTGATTACCATGCCCAACGTTTTCCTTACCAAACCCAACATGGTATATCTTCCTATTGAGAAGAGAATAGAAAAAAACATTCTGATATCCACTGGAAGGAGATGCTACAGAGGCAGTTGAAACATGTCAATAAGCTTACGAGAGAGGTTCGGTTTTCCAGGAAATTATTCTATATAACATAGATCTAAATATATATTTAGATCTATGTAAATACATTCTCCATGATTCGTTCAAAGGTAGCCGGAGCATTGCAGAGTCCAAAAATCATAGCTTTGAATTGACATAATCTATTGCCGATAGTGAATGCTGTCTTCTTCGTCTTATCACTTGATTATTTGGGATTTTCTCTCTTCGTTTCTACTAAATAAAAATTAGTGTATTATTTGAATATATGAGTATAGTAGGACAAATCAGATTGTTTGCCCCAATAGCTTGTCATTGCCACTTTGTTTGGAAAATAACAATATCGAATTTTTACTTATATTTGGACGTTTCGGGAAAGAATCTGCTCCCGTTCTCAACATGGAAATGAAAATATATTTGTTTTTGTTAAACGCAGTGATATTTTGGACCAAATCCCTTCATTGTGTATCTCAAAATTATTTCGTGATTACTCACATCCTGTTCGTTTGTTTTCAGACCTTTTATATCCTTATAAATGAGTATGTACATACATACTTTGGTATTGATTTTCTATAAACCATTTTTGCATGAGTCACATATAGTCATATATCAATCAATCTATATCATCTCGTTCGACGCTACCTATTATACTTCTCACATGAAGAAGAAATATGTGTAAGTGTACTAAAATTATCATTTATAGGATAAAGGTAACCATAATCTTTTTTGCAGAATATTCCGTATCGTCATTTGTTCCATTTCACTCATAGTACGATTTCTTTTTATCTAGGGTCTAGTAACGGAATTCCTCATTGTTTCACACAATTCCCGCAATGTGAGTCGGAAATAATGGTTTATAATCAAAGCCACAATTGATAACTTTCGCATTGTGTTCTATCAAGTGATTTTTGTTATCAGTTCGTTTATAGCCTTTAGCTCCAAAGTTTCTCATAATTAATAATGGATCTCCTGTTGAGAAGTGTTATAATTGTCTTAATATTGTTCCACATCACCAATAATGCGGTAAGCGTATTATATAGTTTTACTTTGTATGCGAAGGCTGCATTTCCAATCTTCCTGGAATATTTTTAGTCCTCTTCCAGCCCTAAATGCTGTGCCAAAATCAGCAGCAACGTTTTCAATTCTTGACAGTTATCCGCTATTGACGGCGATTACGCGATCATGATATACCTATCATTCGCGAGATTCACGAAGTGGGCGAAATCTAGGTTACATAATACTTCAAACTGGGAGAAAACAAACTGTTGTCTATGGATAAAGTACATAGACTACATTGCATTCAGCTTGCTGTAGCTGTAGTCAAACTTGTCAATGACATGAAGTGTTGGCACTGTTGGTAGTGATGATGGTTGAGTTGGTTAATTTTTTTACATTATTACATTTTCATTAGCTTAGTGAACAGTGAACGGGTGAAAAATTGGAGATAGTTCGAACAATTCAAACTAATTATGACGAGCGAATCAATTGACATATAAAAGAACAGCTACAACATGTTCACAATACCCAGATTGTCCTGCTTTGCATGAACAAATACAAATCCATCGTTCTACAGGAGTTCATCTGGACCCCAATTTCAATTTTATTTCATGTGGGGAAGATTTCATCGCCGAAGTTTGTAGACAAAGTGCAAGAATGTGCATTTTGTTGAAGTCTTCTGCCTCACACAAAATCACATGATTAGCACGGAGAACTGCTTCTCCTTCCACTACTGGTCGGCTTTTTCCATCTAAATAGAGCGAAATATCTGCCGAAAGAACATCTACAACAGGCATATTATTAGCGTTTTCGATCGAATATCGACAATTAATGTCAAGAAATTTAAAAACATCACTCTTATCAGTACACAGTACACAAGCTAATGGCACTAATTTGATTGAGTCAATTGAGTGAGGATTGAGTTTGTTTTCCCCCATTTTTGACGTAGCTTTGACATGGAACGATGAAAACCGAGCGCCACCTGGTAACATTGATTACCGCGAAATAAACGAAATCTGTGTAATTTGCTTACTGTGTGTAAAGAGCTACTTACTGAGGCTGATGTATATCTCGTGTGTTCTTGCCTACTTTCTATAGTGGCCGTAGGTAAAAATCAAAAACAGACTTTCTTAAAACCCTTGTACCTTCTTTCAAGAAGTTATTATCAACGTGAATCGAAAACCATTGTGTCAAAAAAGGATCACACATCAATGAAAAACATGATGAATCCAAGTTTAACCATTCAGCTTTGCCACAGGGTGCTAACAAGTTGGTGAAAGAATAACTTTTGTTTTCCCTGTATAATGATCATGCCATCAGGTTCTTTTGTCAACTAATATTTAGGCCAACATTCTGAAACATGAATTCACGATTTGGTCAAAGTTCCACCAAAATTCGACAAGAATTTGAACAGGTACAGGGCGAACAACTTGATAAAATTCTTTGGTGGCTGTTTTTTGTTTTGTCGGTGAGTGTATAATATTAAAATGTTCAATTAACTCAGTCATCAACTATTAATACTCTTATCATTTCATGATCACTTGGGGGAATGAATTCAAACGTCAGAAATTATTGCAATTCAGACCATATCTTCCATGCTTGACTATCTGTAATTAAGAAATTCATACGATAGCAGAAACTCGCTCTCCAATGGAATTCGTAAAAGGTTTACATTTACATTCATCGTTTTTTTAAACTAAAATTCATTCAAATTGAGGGCTCTTCCAGAATTCTTCAGAATTCTTGTCGAAATTGCATCATAAATGAAGGTGCATTGATAATTTATTCATGTTTGATCAATCCACAACAGGCAGCATTACAAGGTCGCTATATCAGTGAGAAGATGAGACAAGTGAAAACCACGCTGACTCCCATCTATCATGAAATCTACCAAAATTGCAGACACCAAATCTGCCCCTATCCTGAAGGGTATCCAGAAAGAGAGATCATGCAGGCAATGACCAGAAAGGAGTCGTTAGTGGGAATGTTCGGAATCATCCTGAACTCAACTTTCGATGCAACAATTTTCGAGAATAGGTGAGTTGAAAGCTGATTATTCTTCTTCTTGTACAGTGCGGCCCAAATGAATCGTAACGACTCCTGTGAAGGTTGGTAACAAATGCTTAGGAAATGAAAATATACTGGGTAGGTACAGCATCTAGATTCAATTACCTAGCAGTACCTGGTATCATACCATAATTTTTTTGGAAATTTCGTGCCCTATTAAGAAAAACACTATTTTTATCACGCACCATAATTTTGAAATCAATTTATCACGAAAACGATGGGGTCAATCGAAACTAAACAAGAGTGCCATTTTTAGGAAAAAATTTTTGAGAGTTCTATATCTCTTGGTCAAACTGCCGGGAATTGCATAAACAGTTGGGAAAGAAATTTTTGCCTCAACTATTTCCCAAACCCCTGATCAAAATCTCGAAAAAGTAATTCTCCTATCAAGTGCGGAAAGTGATTCTTTCCCGCACGCGACCGCCGTTGACACGAATGACGCGAAGTGGAGTTCGGGCATCAAGCAGTCGAGTGCGGGAAAGACACTTTCCGCATGAGTAAGGAACAATATTTTTTCTACAAGCGTTCAACTAATGAGGGGAATATATTTTCTATCTACTAATTATTAGTAATAACTACAGTTTGTCGCATTATGTAGGTTCATTGCGGAAGCCAGCAGGCCCATAAGGTGTTTGGTCTCTAGGTTTCAGACACTTCTAAGAAATGAGTCAAACAATATACTTATTTTTCATTCGGTATTTTCATTTCTTAATTGTTACACCATTCAATAAATCGCGTGTATTGTTTCTCATACATCTCTTAAGACTTCGTTGGAAATAACGCATCTGTATCGCATCCCTACAGCTGGAAGTTTTTGATCACATTGTGGCAATTCCACTGATTCGAAAATGACAGTAACGCTGTGTCTGTCACTTCCATCAGATCTATAGGGGAATTTTTATAACAATCAATTTTTATTTTTCAATATTTCTTAATTTTCACAATAAATAGTGCTTGGATGATTCTGAACATACATACTCAATACTGCAACAAACAAACTTAAACTTTCATATTCCATTACCAACCACTTATATTTTGCGATATCACCATATCTTTCATTTCCCGCAATGGTGCTGGAAAAAATTTCCCGTACTAGTATGGGAAAATTTTTCCCGCATTGTTGCGGAAAAATTACACTTCCCAAACTAAAATGCGTGCGGGTATAGGGTGAATCACGCACACTTGAAGAAATAATTGATAACATTTCCAACTAAGGCCTGAAGAGTTCGTAATAAATGTACAAAATTTTGGTCATTTCTTCACGGAGGGTTCCGAAAATATTGAAGACAATTTGATTCACCCATATGGTGAATAATACTCAAGAATAATTATTTATGTTTCTATTTATTTATCATGTCTTGTACTTAGTTGAACATAAATGAGTAGTTCACCAGTGAAACATATTTTTCATGTCGGCTTCTGCATGCATGGGCCATATTGTCAATGCCATGTAGGCAATATGGCCATTCACACTCTCTTTGTCAAATCGGATAAAAAATATTACAAACCAATCTTCCATGGCAACTATTTTCACTAGGTTCAGAACATGTATAACTTTATCATGCAGTGTTTACCGTAACTATTTATTCAACGATATCTTGAATAGAAAGAAAAAAACCGCTCAGGGTGGGCATATTGTATTCACCTATTATATGGATTATGTCCACAGATCTGGAGCTAGAGAAATCACCAGAAGCCTCTGTTCTACTGAAGGACCAGCAACCTATCAGCCCAGAGTGATGCGAAATTTGAATGGACAGTGGAGATACGTCATTAATGTCGGCGAATTTCAGCAAACATTCTCCTCTGAATTCTGCAGGTGAGAGACTTTCAACAAATCTCCAATTCAATATCAGGAAGCGTCAATTGTATTCCAGAATCCCTAATAGCACACAACGTCCTAGGGACGTCCCTATTTGGTACAATCTAAGTCCGAATGTCCCGGACCAAAAATAATTGTCCTTGGGACGTCCCATCCCGTAGATCTCATGCAATGTCCGAGCAAGGACGTCCACGGAATGTCATTCCAAATATCCTAGAAATAGCAATCCTTAGACGTCTCACGTTGTACATATTGTTGAATGTCCATGCAAGGACGTCCTTGGCATGTTCCTGATGAGATGTGATTCTCTACGTTCCTTTAAGGAACATCCATCGGATTTATCGAGTAGTACATATTTTGGCATGACTTCGGATCTCATATGATGTCCCTTCTAGAAAACCATGAAATGTACCTGATGGTACATTCCTTCAAATATCTCTGCACATACACCCTTAATATTTCCAGGATCGTTCAACAATCGGAATGTCCCTTAGGGATATCCGTCGGATGTTCCGACAGGACCTCCATGGGACATAATTGTGTTGTTAGGGATAGTTGAATTTCAAAATAGTCAATTCGATTTCAGAGAGAATCAATTGCATTTCAGAAAGAATCATTTGTATTTCAAAAAAATTTTCACCTCTTTATTTTTTTCATAGACAAATGCATTACCTACCAACAAATAAGAAATAATAAAAATCGGCCTAATTTTTTTTTTTTTTTAAGAAGATAGGTCAAATACCAAATGCGTCACTTTTTTTGGAACTGAGTGTATATACAGGGTGTTTCACAAGTGAAGGGGAATATTTCAATGGTAGATCGGGGTCACCAAGGTGGTTCTGAAAATACCATATTTGATGGGTCTTAGAGTTTTCGTAACGGAGATACAGGGCGATTTTTCGATTTCGAATAATTATTCATTCGTCTATAAGTATTGAACTACCCAGTATATTTTTCTAAAATTTGATATGGAGCTAAAACTTGGGACGTTGAATGCATTCACCTATCGGGCGAAGTGCAGATCCAGGTTCGGCTTCAGGAAAAATTTACATTTATTCGAAATATTAAAATAACACACTGTATGTAATAATTGACAAAGTTCATCAAAGGAATCGTGAAGAGGAGGAAAAACTAAACTGGATTTGATGCTTTTTGTTTTCCCGCCACCAATTCTCATCGTAACAATCATAAACAGGAAGCTAAAAGTATGTCAATTTCAAGAGTATTAAAATTATGAAACCACTTTCAATTATGATTATTTGATATATTCTTGTTAAATGATCGTTCGAAAGAACTTAATTAGTCTCACAGTCTTTATAACAGAGATACAGGGGGAATTATATCACTCGTCCATAAGTATTAAACTATCCATCGCAGTAATATCTTCTCAAATTTGGTATTGAGCTTACTTGGGACGATGAATTCATTGACCTATCAGGCAGAATGGAAATACAGGTTCAGCTTCAGGAAAAGTCTCATATTCTTTATAACAGAGATACAGGGTGGATTATCGAATTATAATTCCGCCTGATAGGTTAATGAATCCATCGTCCCAAGTAAGCTACATACCATATTTGAGAAAATGTTACTGGGTAGTTTTATACTTATGGACGAGTGAATAATTATTCAAAACCGATAATTCACCCTGTATCTCCGTTATGAAAACTGTGAGACTTAGTAAGTTCTTTCGAGCGATTTTTTGACTGAAATATATCGAATAATCATAATTGACACTGGTTTCATAATTTCAATACTCTTCAAATTGGCATACTTTCAGCTTTCTGTTTATGATTGTTTTTCCTCCTCTTTACGATTCTTTTGATGAACTCTGCCAATTATTACATACAGTGTGTTATTTCAATATTTCGAATAAATGTGAAATTTTCCTGAAGCCGAACCTGGATTTTCTCTTCGCCCGATAGGTCAATGAATTCAACGTCCCAAGTTTAAGCTCCATACCAAATTTTAGACAAATATACTGGGTAGTTCAATACTTATAGACGAATGAATAATTATTCTAAATCGATAAATCGCCCTGTATCTCCGTTATGAAAACTTTAAGACCTATCAAATATGGCATTTTCAGAACCACCTTGGTGACCCCTATGTACCATTGAAATATTTCCCTTTACCTGTGAAACACCCTGTATAAAGTATAGAATTTGTGGGGATGAACCTAATATATGAGACTCATAAGAAATCAGTTTGGAGTTGCTTTCCTACAACCTCAATCTCAATCAAACATTTCGAGGTTGTCAATAGTATCTTCTAATCATTGTTTTTTATTTCAGGAAATTTGATAGCAGACGCAATTTCCGGTAAGACTCAAATCGAGATTTTCATTAAACAATGATGGTGCAATAACATTTGATGACATTGATTCGGTATATATAGTAGGAGAGCCGGCCGCAGATTTCTACCGACAATAATGATATAATATGTCCTGAAGGAAATTAAAAACATTGTGGTTCATCGAACGGCACCTGTGCCAATCACTATCCTGTGAAAATGATCAAGAAATTGCACTCTCCTGTGCGGAAATTTGCACTCAATTTCTCATTTCAATTTCAATTGAGTGGTAGATCTCGAAAATTTACCTGTGCTCAGTCTGATTCAAATCCACGACACAGCGATTTATTTGCTCCTATTATTTCGGAAATACTTCTGTCATGTGATGACGAGTTGAAACTATAAAGCAAATGGATGATAAAAATGTTCATTTTGCGAATATCCAAACATGCCGCGATTCAAATCAATCTAAGTTAGTGGCAGAGCGTCAATATAAACGTGAATATTTCGCCCTCGTCGTGCTCACACTAGAAGTATCCTTATCTCCATGTTGAGTTTCACACTGGTCCATCGGATATTATCTTCAGATGGGAACGAAATATACTCGGAAGTATTGACGGGATAATTATCACTAACTTAGATCAGTTTGAATTGCGGCACGTTTGTTTATTGGCAAAGGCGACAGCTTTCCGTTTAATTTGCTTTTTGTTTCAACTCGTTATCTACATCACGCAAGTATGTCCGGAACAATATAGCAGCAAATACATCGGTATTGATAATATAAGTTTGAGGATGATTACGATTGTTTTACCATTTTGTGTCTATGAAGTGAAACACATTTTCAATGAATCTGTCAGAACAGTAACTTTTCCGCAAATATGGAAAATCGCGAATGTCATTTCGATTCCTAAACCTACCAGTTGCAATGACCTGCGTTCAATATGTATATTGCCCACCTCATCTAAGCTTTTTGAAAAAATATTGTCACATCGAATCAACAAACATTTGGAATCTTACAAAATTTCACCAGAAGTACAATCCGGATTCTGGCAAAAGCATGGCAGACATACTGCTCTGCTTGAAGTAATGAATGATATATGCTCAGATTTTGATAAATCTTTACCATCAATATTATTAATTCTAGATCAGAGCAAAGCTTTGGTCCTCGTGAATTTTCAACTTCTTCTTGCGAAATTAAAATTCATAGGTTTCCAGGATGCTGCTTCGGAATTTATAAGTAGCTACATCCGTGGACGATCACAGAGAGTAACCTGTTGTGTTTCAATATGAAGAAGACTTCTTCTGGAGTACCTCAAGGCAGCATCTTGGGACCTCTATTATTCACTATATTTATTTTCGATTTGCCATCGGCTTTAACCTTCTGCCAAGTTCATTTCTACGCAGATGACTTCCAATAATATACACCATGTCAACTGTCGGATGCGGCAGAATGTATAGAAAGTATCAATACAGACCTCCGAAACACCACAAGTCATTCAGAAAAACATGGTTTGCGAATTAATCCGAATAAAACCGTTGCAATTTGCTCAGGTTCTCGAAGACAGTTATGACATATGAAAAATTGAACCTTGAAACAAATAATACTAATATCGAATGGGTCGACTCATCGAAAAACCTTGGCTTGATCATCGACGAAAACTTGAGTAGGTATTCATAACCATGTACATCACGTTTTCAAAATTTCATTTTTCGAATTGAAATCACTCATTTATCTCTATATAGAATATTGCTCTTCAGTGTTTCACAATTTTTCACCCCAATATAACAAACTGAGACTTCAACGCATTCAAAATGCTTGCATACGTTTTGCTTGCTGCATACCCCATAAGGAGGATATAACTCCTTATCTGAGAGCACGAAACGAATTAAATGTGGATTGTAGAATACAATACCTGCTAACGATATTTTTATTCAAACTTTCGAAAACCAAAACACTCAATTATTTATTCGAACTTATATCACGCCGGTCCGACGTACCTAATATCAACATAAGATCAGATACTTTCAGCATTCCACATCATGTTACATCGAAATACGAAGAATGTTTTTCATATCTGGTACTATCTTGTTTGAATAAGTTCATTTCATTATTGAATTCAACAGAATTTCAAGTGAGATCTAAACTAAAACATATTCTGATATCAAGTATAACAGACTAGTATAATTGTTACTTCTATTATTCCTACTGTTCTTTAATTATCTTTTTTTTTCATGTGTCAACCAAACCTATCAGATTATTTAATATAGCTTACACTATTACAAAATTATATTCCATAAATTTTTAAATTTGTACAAATTAAGAATATTAACTGCACTTTCTTGCTAAATACTAAACAATGTAGTTGAGAGAATGCTCGATTATAGATACTTATGTTGTGAAATTGAATTTCGAGGGGGAGAGGTAGATAGCCATAGGCTAACCCCTGCCTTTTGTGTGTAACATTGTTGTGCACAATAAACGATATTATTATTATTATTATTATTGGTATCGGATGGCATAATTCTTATCTCGTTATCAAAACGCGAAATCGAGTGAAAACTTACGCACAGGAAAGTGCAATTTTTCAATTATTCATCCCAAGATAGTGATTGGCTCAGGTGCCGTTCGATAAATTACAATGGTTTAACATTTACATATATTTATGAGCTAAAGGACCTCTCGTGAGGTCGATGACCAGTTGGTATGCACATACATAACAACCAAGTACATGTACTGCAACTACTAGTGTTTATTGATTGCATTTTGATGAGGTAAATAAGTATAGGTACTTCGTTGGTATGCAACATACCAACTGGCCATCGACCTTACAAGAGGTTCTTCAACCCATGTGAATTCTGTGTAGGCTTTGTTACTCCATACGCCAACTTGGAAGCAACATTTTAAATTGAAACGCTGCGCTATTATGCCGTTTTGCATCTGAATATTATCATGGAAGGAATCAAATTCGACCATTTAAAGATAGGCAAGTCGTCTGACTTATAAAATATGTATACAGAAACTCGGTAGGCAATCGGAGATTCATATGTTTTCTCTTTTTCATAGTTTGTATATATCTCTGTTATGATTATGACACTCAATAATGAAATGAATCCAATTCGAGAGATAACCGAAAATAAATTCCGTAGACACATATCATTATAGAAAGAGAAAGTTGTAGTACCTCTCAGTTAGAATAATTTCGATTTGTAACCAAGTGATAGGGGAAGACCGGGGTTCGAATCCCGTGGCGGCCGTCTTTTTTTTTATTCGAATGTATCGGCAAAAATGTACTGGCCCTGATGACCTATTGGTACTGACCCATCAATGTTCAAAGGAATTTTGATATTCTGGCCAATTATGAATTGTTTGCTGGGCAGTTTAACACACTGTAAACGAACCCTATGTGTAATACACTTTCGAATTCAGCTTCCTATGAGGATATCAAGAATTTAATAATATATAGGGTGTTCTGTTGTTCAATTCCTTTTCATAAATGTGGCAAATTGGAATCGACCTGTTACAAGAGGTTCTTCTGAAATGAATAGTTTGACCAAAACTGAATGTATTCAGTACTCTGCGAAAGCACTGTATAATGAGAATTTATTTCAGAGATGAATACTGTAACGAATTCGAAGCAGGATGTGACCAGGATTTTCAAGAAATGTTCCTACTGACATACGAGAATGGAGTCATTGATTTCGACAAGTTCATGATACCAACCACCTGTAATTGTATGTGCAATTTGTAGATTCATTTTTATCACTTTTTTTATAAGAGTTCGAAATTATTTATTTTTGACTGACTGATGATATTGATAATTGATGTACCTACTCCAGAAACAACGAAAAATAAAGAATATTTCACCTAAAATAATCTGATATTTCCTATCATGAACTTGAGAAAGTGAGAAAAATGGAGAGAGACAGATAGATACCTAACAATTTCAACTGAATATCATCGTCCAACTCTTGAATCTAAAGTAGGTAAGTATATAGGCAAATTGTTTTCCTTCCTTTGTATGATTTTTGATTATGAATACTAATGAACAGAACAAGACTTGTTTAGGTATAAATAAAAAATATTTCATCTTAATTTTATTAGAGTATCTTACAAATATACAATAACAGATTATAAACTATCGTATAAGGAATACTTCGTTGGTTACTCTTTCTTCTTTCAAACTAAGGGGAAATATAGAAATATTTTCAAATATTGTTCTAGAGAAAGTTCTTGAATAGAAATATGTGGAATCACATGATCATTTGGAGTAGATTGTGTGACCGTAATTTTCAATAATCTAAAGAATCATTATCAAACATGGCGATGAATGAAATGAAATACATGCAGGATATATTTTGCAATTGTTTGATTTATCTAGAAGAAAGAAACACGAATCAGAAAGGGCAACAAATGAAGTGTTCTGGACATACAAATGATGATATCACTGGTGAATAATGATTAAAACGAATAATATTTCTTCGTTGATTCAGATAAAGGTAAGATTTTTGTCATAAATCTTTCGAGTTGTTTGATTACAATAATATTTTCCCTAATCATGGAAATCCTAATAAAAACAATAAAATATGTACAAAATACAGAAAAGCATGAAAAATGTTTCAGAGAATCACACTTTAGCAATAATACAAAGATAATTGTTTTTTGAGCAATCTCTTCAGGAATCTCAAGGTCCCACTATCAAAACTCGAAATATGACCACTAGAATATATATATTATCATAGGCTAACAATTAGAGATCTGTTATATTTTTAGGAAATTTATCTTCCTACCCTCTTGAATCACCACTTGCTCACAAAAATCAAGTCACATTATCTTTCTTGCATTTTTCCTGCGAATATAATAACAATCCATGCAAGCTCAATGAATTCCAAACGAACTGGGAGCTACCAATTCCACTCTCCGAAATGTGTATGTTTGCCAGAAGCAAAATACCATGTATTAGTTAGGAATACCTTCTTTCCGTCGTTGATCTAGTTGGCGTACTACTTGACTACTTCCCACTCTCGATATCTTCCTCTCAATAAATAATATGGAGAATCAAATAACAGGTCAATTTTATTTTTAAGGAGGACACTTTGAATGCATATTTTGATCCCTCATGGTTCATCTAGGAGGGTTAGATGATACAATTAGAATCTCGAATGGGAAGGGGTGTCAAGTGACACATAATTTTCTAAGGCGTTCGATTGTTTTTCCATCGGTACCTTAGTTTATTATTTTTTCTACAAGCGTGCGTGATTCATCCTATACCCACACGCAATTTGATTTGGGAAGTGTCATTTTCCCGCAACATTGCGGAAAAAACAAAGATATGATAATATGGCAAAGTATATAAGTGGTATAGGTGATGGAATATGAGAGTTTGAGTTTGTTGCGGTAGTAAGAATGTATGTTCAGAATCATCCATCAAATTGCACTATTTATTGTGAAAATTAAGAAATATTGAATAATAAAAATTGATTATTATAATAATCCTCCTATAGATTTGGATTGATCTGATGGGAAACGATTATTGTTGTCATGCCAATCAAACCTCAAATGAGTTTGTAATTGTCGAAGTGACAGACACAGCGTTACTGTCACTTTCGATTCAGTGGAATTGCCACAATGTGATCAAAAACTTCCAGCTATAGGGATGCGATACAGATGCGTTCTTGCCAACGAAGTCTTAAGAAAGGTATGAGAAGCTATACACGCGTTTTATTGAATGAAGCAACAATAAAGAAATGAAAATACCGAATAAAGAAGAAGTATTTTTGGCTCATTCCCTAGAAGTGACTGGAAACTAGAGACCAAACAACTTATGGGCCTGCTGGCTTCCGCAATGAACTTATACATAATGCGTCAAACCGTAAGTTCACAATAGCTATTACTAATAATCAGTACAGGGTGGCCAACTAAGACTCCAGAGTTCGATTTGTCCTGAGAGATACAAAAAAAAATTCAGAATCAAAATTGAAGTAATAACCGAGCTTCACATTTCAAAATTTCTTTGAAATACACAGGGAGTTCCGTAAGGTCACAGCACATCAAAACTATGTTTTTTTCATTGGAACACCCTATATTTTATTTCATTTTTGAATTCTCCCTGAAGATCTGATTTCAACGATCCATCATACTTAGGGTCTAGCAGTGAAAGTTACTGACATATAGGGTGTGCAAAATCGAGATTTTCCAAGTTCAGGATTTTTTTCTGTCGAAACTGTTCATTATTCGTCAAAATGGTTTACATGTCCCTATCTCAACTTTTCACTCACTATCAATTGGTGTTCAATTGAAATTGATACAAGGTGGTCAAAAATCTAAATTTATAATTTGTTTCAATTAAATGTCAATTGAACACCAATTGATAGTGAGTGAAAAGTTGAGATAGGGACATGTAAACCGTTTTGACGAATAATGAACAGTTTCGACAGAAAAAAATCCTGAACTTGGAAAATCTCGATTTTGCTCACCCTATATGTCAGTAACTATCACTGCTAGACCCTACCCTAACAACACAGGGATGTCCTAGGTGCGTCCCTTTTATGTCCCGCGGTACAAGGAAATGATTGGGACATCCAGGGGATGTCCCGCCAGTAGTTGTCCAGTGGACATCCCACCCGGTACATCCCTAGGTTATCCCATTCGTGTCCCTGGAATATCTGATATCCATTCTTCACATCAGAGAGTCATTCAATATCATCAAAATATTGAGTCGAATTTTTTCGAAAATGTATTTCTTCCGGAAAATAATTGTGGTGAAAATAAAGAATATAGTCTCAAAACTTCTCAAGAAATGACCATTTTTCGCAAACAGAGATCGTAAATGCATAATGCCCCTCATTTTCAAACACCCAAGAATGATAATAATTATACCCGAATCCTAACAGTTTTATTTATCCAGGTTTCTGTAGTTGTCCTGTTCATAAATCTGTTCAATACATGAATCTTCAGAAGGCATATTGGCCAATGGAGTAAGGTACGTGCCTGATAAGCTGAAGGTCCCGGGTTCAATCCCAACTAGACCTACTTTTTTTTTCTTTTGTCGAAGGGATGTCCCTGGGATATCCTTGGGACGTCCTAGGGATATCCCTTCTTTGTACTCGGTACATCCCAGGGACGTACCAGGAGGGACATCCCTTGGATGTCTTTTTTGTCTGAAAGCGGATGTCCCTGGGACGTCCCTAGTATGTACTTTGTCCCAGAAAAGATATCCCTGGGATGTCCTTATTCGAAATTAGGGACGTCCCTGGGAAGTCCCTAGGATGTACTCGTGTTGTTAGGGTAAGTATGATACATCCTTGAAATCAGATCTTCAGGGAGAATTCAAAAATGAAATAAAATATAGGGTGTTCCAATGAAAAAAACATAGCTTTTATGTGCTGTGACCTTACGGAACACCCTGTGTATTTCAAAGAAATTTTGAATTGTGAAGCTCGGTTATCACTTTAATTTGAATGCAAAACTTTTTTTTGTATCTCTCAAGACAACAGAGGACTCTGGATTCTTAGTTGGCCACCCTGTACATAGAGAATATATTTATCTTGTTAGCTGTTCTTATATGAATGAATAATTGAATAAACGGATCAATCAATCTCCTACGCTTGTAGAAAAAACTTGTTAGGAAAATTACTATTTTGTAGTGCTGTATCGGAAAATACCGATCTGAACTTACAGAAGTAATTAGAACTTGCCTGCACTGGGGTGCAAGGTTTTCGCAAGTTAGAATTCAAAAAAATAATTGTTTCGACTTTCCTTCCAGTGAAAATGGTTAGATTCCTATTCTCCATCAGGGGCAATAGTAGCCATCAGTTAAAAACAAACAATAATGAGTTTTCAAAATAAATAGTGAATGCGGAGAAGATGAGGAGACATCACTTCACTTCCCCGGAGAGTGTGAGGCGTATGGAAGGATGAGATTCGAAATCTTTGGAGTAGATAAACTACAACAGGAAGATTTGGTCGAATTAGAGTGGACGGACATCCTGACCTTCATCAGGAGGACGGGAAGGTTCGAAAAGGACAACTAAAAGAGGGATGTGTAGATATGTGGAGAGCAGGGGTTGGCAGAAAGGGCCCATGGGGGCCTACTTGCCTGGCTACAGCCTCCCCACAATACTACTACTACTACTTCCAATAGTGATATTCTGATGGTAGTTCATTCGCGTTTTTATTGCATTTATGAATATCATCGCTGGAATTCCATTGATGGTTCATTGGTGAGCTTCGTTTTTTTTAGCAAACAATTGTTCAACAGCTGCCAGCCTTTTGAGCCAGAGCCATGTTCTAATTACTCAACGGTATTTTTCAGAACCAGTCATGAAAAAATAATGGAGCAAAAAGGAATGGGAATCGAACGGCTTTTAAAATCATATGCCATTCGACCCTCCTTCTCATTCAAGAATTTGGAGGGTAAAATCTACCTCTCCTGGGGAGTTGAACCATGGGAGCTAGAAATATCCATTTGAAGTGTCCCCATTGAAAATGAAAACGACATGTCATTGCAATTTTCCATATTATTAACAGGAAGGGAGATATTAGGGGTGAGAAAGTTTCAAATTGGCACCATTTATATACCTATTCAGTATGGACGATCGGTCCTGGAGCGGCATAGGTATACTACCTATGTGTATTTTTGGGTTTCTTCCAGTTATTAAAGAACACATATTGCGCGAGCTACATATCGTTCTCTCAAAAGCAGAGTGTTGTATGTATTTTATTAGTTTCTTCAAAATTCAATCAGAGTTTTGCTAGTTTATCAGTGAAAGCAGTCGTTGCATGTGAAAACTTGTTATTGAAATCAGAAAGTGGAATCGGGTATGTGCATAATTTTATAACGACATACATCGTAATGTTTCAAGTACACACTCCGATTGTTAGCGAGACTATTAGACTGTCCTATGTAACACGTCTTCAATATTGTACAACATAGTGAAAAATTATATAATGATCTTGAAACATTAGATTCTGTGTAATCAATTTTTTTAGTTTCCTAACATCCCCTTGAACAAGTCTCGATGAGAATAATTGATGATGTTACTCAATGATTCATCTCTAATATATCAACAGTTTAAACACAGTTCAATCCTTTTGAAAAACCATTCTCAGGTGTTTCTTTCCAGTAAAATTTTGTACCCAAATCAAATTTGGCAACAGCCGACTCGTGCCCAGAAGACTAAAAGAAGTGCGCAATTGATGTTACGTTAGATGTTCGTTGGAGACTTACGAGTTCCAGAGTCCCAATAGAGGGATTCTAATATTGAAGGTTCCGACGTATAGAGTTTCATCTCTCCTTGTTGGATATTATGTGTCCCATTATTGTGATCACGATGCAATAAGCAACCTGGTCCTTGTAGCATGAAATAATGGTTGCGCACATAACAAATCAGTGAAACGGACATCAAAGGTGCCGAAAATGATTGAGAGTACTGGTTCTTCAGCCACTTTACAGTGGTACGAGCTTCAAGGGGATGTAACCCAGGTAGCCACACTGACAAAAATTACGACTATAGGACCGCTCGCTAACTTTGGTCATTTATGGTCTCATTTGTCACTTGTCAAAATCATGACGTAAAAATGGCGTCGTTTTCCCAACGCCACATAGACGGCAACTTTTAGACGCCTTGCGAACGTCAATATCTGGTCTTCACACCGTTGTCAATCTCAGAAAGTGTTTTCTTTTGATAATTCGAACTAGCCCACAAAATCCCACCAATCACAGCATTTTCTTGTTCAGGCGGCACAAAAGTCGTCAGAAAGAATGTAGCCGAACATGAATCAAACGTGACCAAACCCGAACTGAGCAGTTTGTACCTCTTTACAATGTTGCCGTCTTTACAATTCCTACTCAGTTATATTATTCTGGTGAATAATAAATATTGAGATTCAAGAATGATAATTGCACAATAGATCCTGACAGAATGAAGCATCAGATGGCAGTAGCATATATTCGAGCCGGAGGTTACGATTCACGTCAGCTGTCAATATCTGATTATTTATAGGTACCTTATAGTGACGATATTTTATCACCTCAATGTTGTATTTTGTGATGGACAGCCACAAAAAAGAAGATTGCGGATATAATGAATTCAATTTCCCAGAATACAGCAATATTTATCATATATCATGCAGATGACAGATGCCAGATGACCGTCAATTTCAATATGGAATACAGTGAGTTCTGTTGATTCCAAATATTCATGGATATAGAAAATTGATCTGTTTCGATATTGTGCTCAATTTCAGTTGAGCTCTGAGTGATTGTAATTTCTGTAATGAATGAATATATCATATGAAAACAAGGTTTCCTCTTATTAAATTGTTCCTCATTCAGGTGATGATTAAAACAAACCTCAAAACGAGAAGTTTGGCCATATTTCTCGAGAAATAGTGGTCGCTACGACGTCCAATTCATAATTGAACACCGCATTGACGTCCAATAAAAGACCTTGAAAGTGACTTCAATCAGCTGTGACTTCACTACCTCATTTAGACTTCATTTTGGATGGCATAAGACGTCTTTCAGTCGAAAGTAATATCGTCTTCTAGAAGTCATATAGTCCCTATGTGCTTTCTGGGAAATTCACGGTAACCATTATTGTAAAAGCAAGAACCTTGAAGCTCAATCTACTCGATAACCTTTGATATGCACATACAACACTTCACTTCAGAGAGACAACAAAACACTCTCAATATAACAATCAACAGTCATAAATACACGTCACGGTCCATTCATTCACTTGGCAATGAAGGGCGAGAGATCAGGAAACTTGAACCCCCCGAAGCCGTCGAAGCCGGAGTCCTGGAAGCGGGGCGGTCGGCCCGCCCTGCCGTTCCTGGGCGGGGGCGGGCTCAGGCCACGCGGGACGGAAGACCGCCCTCTGAGCAGGAAGCCGCACTGGGCCGTGCAGACCTCGTCGCGCAAGATGGCCTCACGAGACCACTCTCTCATCAGCTGTCTGCAGTCGGTTATCCTCAGGGAGGCGCAGTTACCCTAGAAGGAAAGCGAGTTCTGTTATCTCAGTTTAGTCAACCTTCTATCAAATCATGAACCCAATGTATGAATGAGTGATGTCTCATTTAGGCCCGTATTTATAGTCGCTCCTTAAGTTGACCTTGTCCCTTAACACTTTGCTGCTGGTCAACTACAATGACTGGCGTCCCACGCCGATCTTAATACATAGCTTAAAAGCAAGAGTAGTCTAAAAAGCGCTTGCGCGTGATCGGCACCCAGCGAAATTTCCGCATCACGCTCTAGCGCGTTATCGGCAGCCTCAAGGACCAGGTTCCAATGTATAGTCGTAATATGAGCTCCAAGTAAGCCTCAAGGCAATGTCGATTCCAAGGAAGTAGAGAGGTACCTTGAGCATTCCTTGATCCAATTGCTAGTATCATTTCAGTTAAGTTATGAATTCCATGAATGGAATGATGAAATTGAATGTGGTAATCAAATGAATATTCAAGTCCTGGAATCTGTACAGAGAATCTGATTCGAGTATATCGATTTCCAGTAAAAGCGAATTCAAGTATAGATGAAAAGTGAATCTTTTTTATTTCAAACAATAGGTATCATCTTGATGATTTGTTCATGGAATTGAAATACATACTTCTTCAATGAACAACCCCACAAAATCACAAATTCATTCGAAGTGTTCAATCAAATGGATATTTTTCCTCTTCCTGGCATATTATTCCATTGCAGCTTGAAAGAATCCATTGTCAATAGAGTAATTTTTGTATTGTAATTCCGACCCTTTATTCTTCATTTTGCAAAAACATTTGAAGATAATTACTGGATAATAAGAATCTCTCCATGTCCACACTCAACAGTGAACATTGTCAAATTCGACATTTTACAGTTTGTGACAAACACGTGACATAAAACAACAAATTTGGTCATAGAACACTAAAATTATGCACTGTTGCCAAGTGTAAGGGCTCCTTTCAGAAGGTATACTCAAGGAAGTTCTCCTCAGATGATTGAGGAATTCTTGGGAAAAAGAATATAAATACGGGCCTATAAGTGAGAATCATTTCATGTCTTACAGTTCCAAAAGTATTTATATATTGATGGAAAGTGTCTAACTTTTCTACTATTCATGCAAAAATGAAATTCACAATAGAAATAGAGACAGAAAATTCAATCAATTTCTTAGATTTGATAATAAGTAAAATTAACGATAAACATGATTTTTCAATTTTCCATTAACCTTCCCACACTGATATGACTATTCATAATAATTCAACACACCCTTATCAACATAAAATTGCAGCATATAATAGTTTGATACCGGGCTAGTGAATGTCCCTCTTTCGGAAGTAAATTTCAATGAAGAACTCAATATCATAAAACAGATTGCAGTCAACAACGGATACAACGGTAATTTAAGAGACAGTATTCTTTCTAAAAAACTCCATCATGAAGCTATTGAAGAAGTGTATCCTACCATCAAGAATAATAATCAAAATTATGGAACTTCAACATATTTCGGATCATCAACTAAGAAATTAGCTTCATTTCTACATCAACAGGACTCAAAAGTTGTATATAGAGCAAATAACCCGTTTTGGGACGGTTTATCAAGAATAATAAAGACAATTATTCCAAATTCGAAAAATCAGGGGTATATATCGGTCAGACAGGTCGTACGTTCAATCAGCGCATTCATGAACATAAGATGATTTTTATGAAAAAGAAAACAAATTCAACATACGCCAACCATATATTAGAAGAAAACCATAGTTCTGATGATAATTTCAAAATTCTACACGTGGAAAATGAAGGACTGAAACTCAATCATTTTGAATCATCAGAAATCAACAAACTAAAAAATTTTCACATTTTACTTAATGATCAATTAGACCTCAATAGTTCACCACTGTTGAATTTGTTTTCTCAGTGAGTAATGATATGTATTTGCTATCAACTTATTCAAGTTGATCCGGTATACCGTATTTCAATGTAGATATTGTGGCTAATTTCCAAAACTGGAGGTTCATCGTACCTGTCCACAGGTAATCAATCCTTCAGGTTGGGAAAGTAGGATATATAAAAGTCAAGCAAGCCAACGTTAGTTCAGTTCATTGTACCAGTATATCACTTGACGAAGCTACTGTGTTAGCGAAACATGTCGTGTGTTTGAGAATTTTGTGGAAATCTTATCATTTGTGAAGTTTTTACATAACCATTGACGTTTCCTGTTTCACCAGTTGGCATTACTAGAACGTGAGGTCTATGTCAAAGTCAAGAATCCTCAACGGATAACTCTGAAGGCTAAGGCCTATTTCAAAAATTATAATAATCCCAGGTAACACAAACCTCTCCGCGAGATCTCAGAGAGATCAACATCGGGATCATATCGATTTCATTTCCACAACGAATTCCCTAAGTTATTACGAAATTAACCTAAATCAGAAATTCTTACTGCGAGTTCCTTAAGCTAGCTGGAACGTAACCTGAACGAGAAATTCTTGTTGCGAGTTTCTGAAGCTATCACGTACCTATGTAACGTAAACAAGATATTCTCACTGCGAGTTCGTACAGTTGACCCGAACGTAATCTATGCTATGGATTTCCAACAAGTAACGGCCGAGTCAATTAAAAAAAAAAATAAGTCAATGGTTATATTCCATTTCTTACCCCTTCCGCAGTGCAGACGCAGCTGGTACAAGGACTCGGGAACGCCGACTCCCCCACCCCCACCTGCTTATCCCCGATAATACACCCCCGGCCGTGCGCCGATTCTTGCCAGGCGTTCAGGTTGATGGAGGGCAGCGAGTGGCAGGGCACCCGCGGGTTGAGGAAGTTAGAGGGCAGGTCGAAGGCCGCCCGCTGCATCTCGCCCTCCACGTCCATGTTCTCGCAGAAGATCTTGGCTAGGGTGGATTTCCGTAGTTCGGCTAGTTGGGCTTCGGTGAAGCGGACGGCTGGGTCCTCGTTCTCGTACCTGAAGAGAGAATATTTTCTTATAGTTCTGAGACTCCAGTAGCACTCTGTAATTCGAAGTGGCAGTGAAAGCATGCGTTATCTTTGTATCAACATCCGGATGAGATCGCCGGCGACGCTGAAAGTGTGTTCGTGAAAGCGGAAGGATTTTGTTGTCTGTTGTTGTTTGTTGTTCGAAGTTTGTATTGATTAGAAAGGAATACTGAATTAGAATGAACATCGATAATGTCACGAGTAGAACATACGGTATATTAGTTATTTCGAACCATGAGGGTTTTATAAACATAAAATTAATCAAATCATCCGTTGCATATCTAATAAAATTATTATTATTTATTTATTTATTATTTATTTATTTATTTATTCTCATATGAATACATTTACAAAGACATACATATTCTAATATTATAAAAATTCTAAATTTTATCTACTTCACATTGACCTGTGTGTGAATTAGATAATTATTATAAACTTTTTGTAAAAAATTTTCAAGTTCTTAAAAATATTTAGATTAAATATTGATTTCAAATTCAATATATACAAAGCACAAAAAAATTATTTGAAGAGATTATCAATTTCTTTTGCATTATCCAAAAACCAAATTTTAATTTTTTTTTTGAATGTTACAATATTCAAACTTCTCAATTTTGTTGGAACTCTGTTAAAAATTTTTGACCCAATAAAACTACTATGGTTTTGCATGATTTTGAGATTATGTTTTTCAAGTTGAACATTATCATTTCTTGTACAATAATTGTGACTAATTTTATTACTAAATGCAGTGTTTTTTTTCAAGAAATTCAATGATGCTTTATAAAATAATTGTTTGACATTCAGTATATGATTATCTACAAATAATGAGGATGATGGATAATCCAAAGGTTTGCGAAAAATTATTTTCAAAACATATTTTTGAATACTTAATAATGGTTTGAGATGAGTCTCATACATACCACCCCATTCAATGATTCCATATGACAGAATAGATTGAAAAAGTACATGATATAACATTATGATTAAATTTCTATTAACAATATTTCGTAAAAATCTGAATTTTGGAAGAGTACTTCTGAGCTTCTTAGTAATTTCTGAAACGTGATGATTCCACTTTAAATGTTGATCAATATAAATTCCAAGATATTTAATAAAAGCAACTTTATTTATTTTGTGGGTACATGAACAATTCATTTTTGATTCTTTGGATATATTTTTGAAACAGTTTATATCATGAATTGTCAACTCTGTTATATTGTTTGGTTGTGAGTCTTCATAACAGGAGAAAGTCATGAATTTTGTTTTATTCAAATTTAAAGTTAATAAGTCAAAATCTAGATTATTTTTAACTATTGCTATAGCTTTTTCAGCATTCATGATTGATTCTGACCAAGTGTTTCCATTGACAATTATCATTGTATCATCAGCATATGAGAAAATATATCCTTCAATATTTGTTTTTAGTAAGTCATTGATATAAATAATGAAAAGAATAGGACCTAGAACAGTTCCTTGAGGAACACCACAAATTAAATGTGTTTTTATGCTGAACGTTTCTTCTAATTTTGTAAATTGTTCTCTTTCTGATAAGTAACTCTTCAATAATTCCAAACTTTTACCACGTATGCCACAATTTTGAAGTTTTCTAAATAGTACATCATGCGAAACCGTATCAAATGCTTTTTTCAAATCAAGAAATATTCCTATTGTTTTTTTGTTATCATCAAGAGATTTACTTATTGTACGTGTAACATGATATATTGAATTTTCTGCCCCTATTCCAGGTCTAAAGCCAAATTGATGAGGGGCAAGCATATTCTTGCTCTGTAAAAAGTCATATAATCTATTTTTCAAACATTTTTCTAAAAGTTTAGCAATATTATTAATTAAAGATATTGGACGATAGTTATCACAAATATTTGTACTAGATTCTTTATGTATTGGAATAATTGTAGACATTTTCAATTTTTTGGGGAATATGCCTGTTTTAAAACTCAAATTGAATAAATGAGTAAGGACAGAAGAAATTTCTTTTTTTATATTTTTCAATATTTTGTTACTAATTTGATCCGGCCCAGGAGAACATTTATTTTTCAAAGAATTTATTAAATCAGTTATTTCAGTTTCTTCAATAGGAGTAAGATATAAACTATCAGGACAATGAGTTACAGCCAACTTTTGGTATCCTTCAGGTACCTCAATTTGTCTTGATAATTTTGATCCTATATTTGTAAAGTGATTTATGAATATATTTGCAATTTCTTTTTGATCAGTTGTGATGAAATTATTATTTTCATTATATAGTTCATGAATGCTCTTTTTAGATACTTTGTTTTTTCCTGTCAGTTCATTGACTACTTTCCAAATTTTTTTGATATCTCCTTCAGTTTTGATCACTTCATTTTTATAATACATACTTTTAACATGTTTTATTAATTTATTCAAAAAATTTCTATATTGTCTATAGAAATTACATAGATTCAAGTTATTTTTTTCTTTCATTACACGTTTACTCAACTGATCACGTTTTCTGATTGATATTATTAAGCCATTTGTAATCCAAGGTTTAAGTTTTTTAAATTTTGCAGATGTATTTCTTTTTTTGCAACAGTGATCAATAATCTCCAGTAGTTTATCAATGAATATGTCGTATGCTTTATCTACATCATTTTCTTGATAAATGTGTTCCCAATTTTGTGAATTTATATAATATTACTCAATTTATCAAAATCAATGTGCGCTGTTATTATTTCAGATCTTTGAACATTTTTGGAACTTTGATTACTCAAGTATATTTGACATGAAACTGGAAAGTGATCAGTAATAAAGTTTTCAAATATGAAAAAATTTGATGACCGTATGTTTTTGTCATTTGCCCTTATAAAAATATGATCAATGCAGCTCTTTGAATTTTTATAAATTCTACTAGGTTTATTCAAATAGTAATTGAAAGAAAAAGAACTCATTATATTTAAATATTGATAACTAATTTCATCATCATTCAATATGTTAATGTTACAATCTCCTACAAAGATTTCATTCGTATCATTACAAATTGGTAGTAACTCATTGATTGCATTTAAAAATTGTTTAGAATCTGAAGAAGGTGGTCTATATATTGTAGTTAATCCAAAGTTAGAATTATTCATCTTCAAGTTCAATCTAATAAATCTGAAGTTGTAAATTTCTAAAATATTGATATTGGATTTGAGGGTTCCGAAGTTAGTCTGGTCTGCGGCTACTCTTGACTTGACAAGAGCTCGTCGTGATGGTCGTTATAATGTGAGTTGTTATTAGATTTTCATATTCACTGATGGTTATTCATATTTGTCATTGCTACCCATAATGTTACATGTTAAAATACAAATTGTTGTTTCGTACTTTCAGTTACCCCTAAACTATTAGTGCCTATTCGAATATTACCTCTCGTATACTATTGAGCCAAGCATTACCCCTTATAAATCGATATGGTGGAGTTCCATCTCTATTTTATCGTGACATGGTGGAAAACAACCCTCACTATATCGTGACATGGTGGAGGCGCCAATGGCTCGTTCCCGAGGTTGGTTCTTCCTAACCAACCTCACATTTCAAAATCTCATGTTCTTTTGTTTTCTCAATCAGATTATTTTCATTACATTGAAGTCGAACAAATATTTCAGTGAGACAGTTTCCATTATTTTGAGTATTGAATATAAAAATGTGTTTTTATATGGGGCATCTGGCCAGGATTTGCGAACGGTCCAGCATGCTAAAACTGGACTGCCTCGGTTTGATCTTCGAATGGGGCGTTCCTGGTAGTGCACACAGATAGGCATGCTAAAACCATCTGTACCCATACAAAAACTGAGTAAAAAAAATATTATTTCTTCTTCAACAACAAACAACCCTTTTATCGTGACAGATAACATGAAGTGAGCAAAAGGAAAAATCATGAAGATATTCCAGATAGATGAAAGTTCCCTTTGATATGATAAAAAGACTTAGACATGATATATGATAATCCAATAGTTGTGAAAATCGACTGAAATCATATTATGATTCAACAGTTATCATATGCAGTGGTCAACTAGAATGACGAAGTTATGACAAAAGCAGCAGGAATGAGATCATATGTATAGAACTAACTCTAAAACTGTTGAAGGTGGTCTTGGGGCATAACTTGCAGACACTGAGATGAGGTCGAGGGTAATGGAATGGACATCTATTAGGGAGAATAAGACAATTGAACTTGGATAATGTCCAACAAATTTTTGAAAAATTGAAAACCTACATTCTGTCAATAGGGTCTAGGATAATTAATATTTATCTGAATACTCCTGTCCGATGAGATTCCTGATGAATCAAAACTGATGGATATAGAATATAACTCTTAATATCGAGCGCATCCACCAAAAAGTAGAAATGTGACATTGTTGCCACCTCACTGTTTCCTATTTTCATTTCATTTTCAAAATAATGTCCATTGTGAGAGACAGTAACTGTAGGGTCCCACTAGCATGACAATACAAAAAGCCTCACAGAAAGGGAATGTGACTAATTCACCAAATCCCGGAACTAGTTGAAATCTGTGAAATTTGCACAATGGATTGAAAGTAACTAATCTAGATATCAAAAAAGTTCCAGGTGCCTAATGGAAATTATGTGATACTCACAAAATTTTCAGATCCTCTGTCTACTAGTTGCATGATCAGGAAGAAATAGTTAGAATAGATATACCCAATATTTTATAGGAACAAAGAATTCAGTTTTCCATGAGCTAGGGTATTATAATGACTTTGTGATCTATGTATCTACTAGTCTTTAGTGAAATGGTTGTTCTTTCCTTGTTGGCCCTGTCGATACATTCCATTTTATATAATTGAATCATCCTATGCTCGATTTTTTTATTGAATCTTCATCATTTTGGAAACCTCCGAGTGCATTATTTCTCATGAAAACCGACAATAAATAACACAATACAGGCAAAAAAGGAGATTAATAAAAAAATCCATATAAAACAATCCACGTTTTTTATGCCAAACATGATTTCATCGACTTTGTTTAATTTCGTATGAAGTAGTGTGACGATAGAGGAAGCAAAACGTGGCCTAACGAACTTGCCCTAATAGCACAAGTGTATTCCGAGAATGTCCACGTGCGACAATAGATATGTTCCGGGAATTTCTCAAAAAGTCGTGGAACATACCGGGGACATTCCCAGTAGATCCCGTTGTGGGCAAATTGTTCATTCCAGAAATGTCTCATTGGGACACTGTCGGAACAAAAATGAAAAAAGATATGTCCCTCGCAGGGACTGAACCCCGGACCACATGCTTACGCGTAGTCACTGAGCTACGAGGTACAATTGTGTATTCTTCAGCATGAGAAATGACGTTATTTTCAGATTGATAGATGAGAATAATGACAATGAGAGGAGTTTGGCGTGATATTTGAAATGCATCAATTTAGGTGATATGAAAATTCTGAGTTACTGAGGAAAAAACCTAGAAGTCTGTTAACACAAACTCATAATAATACTTTTTATTGCATTTTCATCTGTATAAATGTAAATATGAGTTCATTTTTTCAATGATAATGATAATGATACTTAAATGATTCATTCAACAAAGGAGATTGAGAATAATAAAACAGAATAGGTACATAATCATGACATACGCTATCACATTACATTTTTACAATTTTTCAGATGAATATACCTAAACATCTCATATTAGTATGAGTATTGATTGATAAGTGTTGAGAACTTTTGAAACAAAACACTTCATTCAATCCTCTGTGTCAAAATAATATGTTCCTGGAATGATTATGTGTAAGTGTTCCGGGAACATTCTCAGTGGAACGTTCCGTGCATATACCATAGAAAGCCGGGACATTGCGACTTGAATGAAACATGAATTGAACGTTCCGGTAACAACGTGTGCTATTAGGGTGATACAGAGTGGGTTGAAAAGGTTGAGAAGCTATGAATTTGACAACTTTCTCAGGGCAGAACAAACAATAGAATGGACCTATTACTATAGTAGTACTCACCAGAATCTGTCACATTTCCTCAACTGTCTAAACTGAATGGCAATGATGCAACCGAAAGTAGGCCCAACGAGTCCTCCTTGCAGTGGCCTCTCACTCATTCCTCCAGGAAACAGATCGATGTCGTCTACCGATGCATAGATTCTCTTCAACCTGGATATCACCTCAGGAGGAATTTCCCTTGCCAAGTCCTCGAAACTGGTAGCCCTCTTAAGATTGCACAGAGCTCTGTAGTTGTTGTAGGACGGTATGCCGTGGTCTCTAGCTCTCTGGACGTTCAAGGCGATCAAATCGATACCGGAGAACGGAATTCTGCGATCTTCGAACAGGTGATTAGTGACTTCTCCGGTAATGAATTGGTCCAGGGTTTCCATGGGAGTCGAGACCAGGCCTCTGGAGATCTCGTCGACCATGTTCTCTCTCATCATCAGATCGGTTTTGAAGAAACCGTCACGAAGGAGGAGTGGAGGATCGATGACTTGATAGGTGGGACTCAATCTGTGAAGAAGAAGGAATCATTCGGAGTTATCAATTCGATATTCTTGCAAAGGAAGTATGTCTTTGAGTCTTTGACACTAAGCATGCTCGATTCTCATAATGTCCATAAATCCGCAAATGTCTGCTGTTTACTGGAGAGTCTGGACTGAGAGTATATTCAAGACACTCTGCCATAACAGTTTCCGCCATAATTTGTGGTATATTCAGGCATAATGATCAAAGCCTAATGTTGATTATTTCATGCCATAGCACCTACCCAAAGCCAATACATCGATTCTTGCCAGCTTATATATAGCGATCACTTTGATACCAGACTGATTAAGCTGACTCAATAATTTCAATTTCGCTTTCTGAGTCATTGGAACCGCTTTTCGACTAATTTGAACCGCTTTTTGAGTTATTGGAACCACATACTTGGTCATTCGAACCGCTTTTCGAGTTATTGGAACCACTTTATGAGTCACTGGAAACAAGTACTCTCTCGGAGGCTGTGAAAACGCCTAGTTTCCTCTTTTATCATCGACATCTTCATACCAATAGTTTTGCACGATGTCCTCTGAATGTAAGAATGAGCGTAAATACGCAATCTCAATCTGAACACGAACATTAGAATAAAATTGCGTTTGTGCAGTGAATAAGTATGCTACCATCCAGATCCTGAAGCGCTGTACATAAGTATGGTCAAAAATGTGAAAAAATGCATTTCTTGTGTGGCAAAGTATACCGTTTGACATAGTACGTGGGGTATATTATGTAAATATGCTTTCTGGCTTTGGTCCAAAATTTGAACATAATGTTCTTCTCAAACAATTTAATTTTAGATTGACTAAAATCACCTCAGACAAATCTCGTTAAAATGGGTATGATTAATTCAATTCACGCCATCTATCTTTTTTACAGTGATCCGTCCATGTATATATAGTATCTGATACAGTCAGTCATCATTAAAGAACATTACAAATATTTTCTTCAATAATCAAAACAATCACACCTCAAATATGATAGCTCTCAATGACTTGACATGTCGATAAGCACTGTCAGTATTATCATTCTTATAGACGCAATGAAAATATTTCCACATTCTAGATAGAAATGAGGAATCACTTCCACAGTGGGAGTGTACTGAAATATACACAGAACTCAAGTCATATCGTTAATAATTGCAATGGAATGATCGCGATATATGAGATCAGGCATGGTCCTGTCTTTTTCATGTCATGATATATCATATCATCAATTTCAATATATATTTTTCGAGTAGTACAGAGCTGTGAGAACGAAACGGTTCGCGTCAGTAGACAACAAGTTTGAGTCAGTACTTCAAACGAATGAATTAATTTTTTGTACTAGAACACCCATTTGTAACAACATAACTACTATCTGACCTCGTCACTATACAGACGGATTACACCCGGGAGCATTTAAACATTCCGGTATAGGATTCGGCACCTGCTTAAATTCTATTGGCGGATTTTGATTTGTCTGACCAATTAAAGGCGAAGTGCCGAAATCCGTACCAGAATGTTGAGCGGTGCTGAAAAGCAGGTCGGAATGTTGCCCTGCATTTTGCGCGGTTTTTGTTAACATTTACCCTCGCATTTACCTAACCTGCGCATTTTTTGATTATACCGTCGTTCCCACATGCTAACAACAAACCTGCAATCTTGTTATTATAGTTAAGTGCAATCATCAATTAGTGAAGTATACCATAAATCACTAATAATTATGGAAAGATTAATAAAAGTTTCAGAAAATTTGTATAGGGGCAATATGAAGAATGAAACAGAAGTTGTGCAATGGATGAATGATTATGAAGCTCAGTCGTTTACATTATGGCGTTTCAAATCAGGCCCTACAAATATTAAAAGATTCTTGCACAGGTAACAATTTTATGTTTTTTAAATATTTTTTTATTTGCTCATGAAATGTATTCGAAGAAGACGAAGACGCAGTTTGGCAGGTAACGTGGCGAGAAATCAACCAAACGCCAAGTCCCATGGAATAGGACATTAACAGACATTAAGTGTTTTGATGATTGTTATTTCGAATTTATTATCTCATTTTATTACATATAATCATTCATTTTAAACTTTTATACCAAATAATCATCATGAATATAAATGAAAATTTCTAAAGTTATTGAAAAATGCGTTCATTACACATTATCTCGTGCTTTCATTTCATCAACATTCCGACCTGTGTTTCAGCACCGCTCAACATTCTGGTACGAATTTCGGCACTCCGCCTTCAATTGGTCAGATAAATCAAAATCGGCCAATAGAATTTAAGCAGGTGCCGAATCCTATACCGGAATGTTTAAATGCCACCCGGGAGAACTCATTGTAGGTGACTTTTTTTGTTGTTGTAGAGTTTATTGTTTTGAAATGAATATATGACGATTTATCGAGCATAAACCTAGCTATACAATCTACTTTGCATACAAGTATTCGAATAATAAATACCTATACATGTCGATACCACGACTTGCTGGCTAATATCGGTGAACAACTGCGTTTTGGAGATTTCTAGTAGGTATATTCCGTTTGCGTTTGTTCAATCTGATGAACTAGATATTTCTCTATGACCATGGCCGCTTTTTGAGTCATTGGAACGGCTTTTCGAGCTATTACCCTTTCGGAGGCTGCAGAAACGCCTAGTATGCTCTACTTTCATGAACATCTTCATAACTATAGTTCAGGACTATGCCCTCTGAACACGGGTGGGTGTAGAAAGGCAGTCGCAATTTGATTAAGAAATTACGTTCCTATCTTGTATCACAAACTCTACTGTTTCCCAAAGTAGATTGGGTCTGCATTGTTGTATAGCTAGTAAATACTGGGGAAATGTTGGAGCTGTGATACATGACGGAAAAGAATATACTAGTGAAGCAACGAAATTAAATTCACAGGCTTATATGCTATCAATTTTTGACAATTGATGTCTATACTTTTCATTACATTTGGTATTTATCGTAACATACTATATTTGCATGTTGATGGTTCAATTTTTTTTTTGGTCGCTGCGAAAAACTACATTTTTGGAGACTAACTTTACTCCGCGCTCTTCCAACCATTCTTGTTTCCATATCGCTTCATCTATTCATAAGGAAGAAAGTGCATTGAAGATTCGAATTTCTGGTTCAGAGAGATCTCTTGACTGATCGTTTCCGCTGGAATCCATATTCAGAACTTAAAAGCAACTTGAAAGGATTATCAACGTGAAAACTCATAACAACTCTGTTGTTTGTATTATATTTCAATAGGTGAATTATCTTCTCAAACATCTTCGGAAATTTCATTTCCTTTTCTTAGAATGATTGAACTCCTCTTACCTGGGTATATGTGGCCTCAGCAGCGAATGTCCAATTCGGAACGCCGCAGCTGCGAACTCCGTCACTACAGACGGGTTACAACCGGGATTGTAACCGTCATAATATCCTTGCGGCAGCAGCTTCAGCCCGTACAGGTTCATCGCGTTCCAACCGAGCACGCGCGGAAGAAACTCGTTGTAGGTCACGTGCTGCGTCTCGGCGATGAGGATGCGCCGCGCATGCTCGAACACCTTGTCCTCGTCCCAGTGCGGGTTGGTGCGGCGCAGGCCGTCCGAAATGAGGTTATGTTCGCGCATGAAGATGGTGTGGATGGCGGTGAGGGCTGGTTGCTCGGAGGCTCTTCCGTCCCCTAGAACACGAATCACATGTTCAAAACATTTCACTTTGAAAAAATATTCGTCAAAAGCATGGGCGCCGTCAATTCACAAACAAATTCAGCCAGCAAACTGAAACCATCGAGTTTACATTCGCAATGGAGTGTCTTTGACCAGCTCCATTATTAGACTGGTTATGAATAATATCTAAGTACCTGAGACTGATTCTTGTTGAATTTCACTTGTTCGTAAGCTCGAAACCTGAAAACCTGAGAGAGCTGAGTATAGTAATGATTCCTGACTTTACAAAGCGTTTCCTGATAGTAAATTCTGATAAACATCATTACAACCCTAAAGACTTCAATATTCTGCAACCCTTTGCTTATGATATGAAATTTGGATGAATTATTCATCAGTTGAAATGATGGATGTTCACCTGGTCATAACTGTTTTGTTATTGGACATTTCCCAGCAAACATTTTGATATGGGGCATCAATGGCCTGATATATTTTTCCCATACCTGACATCAGCGGCCCAGCAAATGATCCCATATGCGGGACTCTATATATCAGTACACTGCGGCCGGCAGCTGGTCCCAGTGCTGGGTTCCCAGCAAACATATTCAGTTCCCCGGCAAGAGGCCAGTACAACATAATCGACACATTGAATTTCCCATAGCAAGCCCAGCATATACATAAATGATGGGACTGTAATGGCCAATTAACGACATTGGTTACATACTATTGAGGTAGGGGAGGGGTAGGGGTTTTAGGGGTCCAATGGATCTGAAAGTTCTAGTACTTTTTTATTTCACAATATAACCCTCTGATCATACCAGATTTCAAGAAAACAATTTTATGAATGACACAATGATATCTTCCTAACCTCTCTGTTCTTCAACGATGTGACTGCTTAGTGGTTGGTATGTGGTATCTACATCTTATTGGGTAGCATTCCTTCGAAGTCGATTCTTCGTTATGAGGTACTTCTGAAATATAAAATGCATCATTTGTTTATTTAGTGGCCTATGAGTTGCATGAGTTTATAACTTGATAATATAGTCTGATGACGTGATAATATGGAGCTTTCCAATTCTCATAATTTTCTTGGCACAGGTATTTCTGTAGCTGAAATTTTATTGTTATTTAGTATAGAGATATATAGGTTCACATAACCTGGAATTACTTTTGATAGCAACAAACGAGTTAAAAATGATAGTTGCTTTTGGAGAAGTATAGCCCACTCCAATTAATATGATCATTAGGTGTATGAAGTTACGAGATACCAAACACATGCATTCAATGATGAAATATTAAACACTATGTAGGTAGATTGATACTTACACAATAATATTATAATTGAAGAATATGTCTTCTATCATCATCAATTGAGAATACTACTGCCACCATAAATAAATGCCACCAGGGAAATAGAGGACCACATTAATTCGACATAAACAACCCAGTACGCGATCACCACTCACGAGAGTCAGCCATCTTAGTCACATCAGCTGATTGTTGATGTAGACGTTCCCAGAACTACCACCAGGGGGACGAGAAGCGAACATGAAATAGGTCAGCAAAGGGCCAGATCTCGTAATTATTCAATTAGTTCCAGACATCTTACCATCACAAGGCCATCATCGTATTTTTAACTGATGGTTACTTGGCATAGGAAAATCATCAGCCCATTACCAACACCCTGGCATCGTCACTTTCCCAGACTAGCCTGCACTAGGCCGGACTTCTCCCGCTCTAGTTCAATGTTTGCTGGGTTCCCAGACAAATTCATTCAGTAGCATTAGCAAGGGTAGTAGATTCTGTTCCTATGCCGATTTAGAGTTAAATATATTTTTTCCGCATTTTTGTGTGTTTGAGATCATGTGGTTTTGAATTCTAGTTCCTGCAGGCATAGTTGAAGATTCCGACTAATAAGAATCTAGGATCGAGCTGTCCTTGTACCGAGGTCGTTGGGGAATATAAATACTGAAGACATATAAGGGATCGCTCTCTACTCTACCGTCTCTGCTCTACTAGTCTCTATCATCAACACTAGAAACTTCACTTGTGTCTCTCCTGGTTCTCTGGCTGATATCTTAGTGCTCTCATATTTCATTCATAGCCAGGGTAATGTATCAATGTATAGTGATTTCCTGTTGTACATGTAAGTTTGTATAATATTTTTCACCATTATTATTCACCCTGTTCTATAATTAATTCCTCTGTTGTCATTGTTTTCAGTTCCGAATAGTTCCAATAATTCTTTTAATAATTTTCAATCATTTCATTTGTCAAATTGCTGATTAATATTGGCGGACGGCTGACACTGACAAAGTCAGCTGTCAATTCTTCTCCTTCTCCTTTTCATGAAGACATCCTGTCCTGTGCACCCGTGCCCCTGTGCTTGGTATCCTGCCAGGCTGTGGCCGGTGGTTAATGACATTTCGACGTGGATAGAAAAATATAATTAACCTCACTGAAATTCCGATATCGAAAAATTTGAAAAACGAAGGAAAAGGACAGATAAATAAGAAATGAATACGTTCAATTCGTTCTGAACTGTGTTTCCGATTTTCCAGGTAAACTTTCAATGAAATAGGTTAAATAAATAATTTTCCAGACCTAACCTAAAAATACCAGATACCCGAAAGATATTTGCCTTGATTCCTGTAATTATCCAGACTAGGAATAGCACCCATTATTTCAGGCTAAACCCAAGGTTTGTTATTAAAGCCTACATTCCCGTGGCTTCGTGATTCCAGGTCGATTCAATAACATTGACCCCTGGTTAATACTGTGGGTATCAACGTAGGTATACCTCATGTACCTGTCTCCGTTGTTGTTACCCAGGCCTTCTAATAAACTGACTTCATAGAAGCAGGTGGAGTAAACCACCTCATGAACAACTGGCGCCCGAGACCCCCCCTCCGACAAGTACCAGAGTAGTTTCTGTCAGAACAAGCACCAAAGCGAAATAAAGGCCGTTACACATTCAATCAGTAACTTGTAAAAAACATTCTCAATCTATGTATTTCGTTCGTAATATAACAAATATATGCAATGTTGCCAATGTGTGAGGAATCTCTCTCATTGTTGAATTTGACAACCCTGTTAGTCATTTGTGGGGATTTTCTCGAATATAAGAATTAAGTAAGTTATTCTTTCATTGCGATCTCAATTCCACCAGATCGAGTATACTCCTCTTCAGTTGGCGAGAAAAATCCATGTAATGTAACACTTCCTGACACTCACATCATATTATGTCATGTGGCAGTTCAATGATGATATGATGTAATGGTGTCACAGGAAGGTGAGTCTGACAGCTATCAAGCAATCGAACATGCAGCCATGTTTTTAATTTCTAAATCAGATGTCATTGTTAGTGATTCATCAATTCGATGTTTTCGCTCTCATTACCTTGTGAATAATGTTTATTGTGAGGAAGTATTCCATCTTCATCTCGAAGACATTCATTTTCGAATAGAAAAAAACGGGAGAGAAACAGTGAAAAATTTAGAAAACGGTAGCATCATCTTATCTTTCCAGACAGGTAATAAGAGGTTATATGAGATCATTATTTCTGTAGTGTTTTCTGGTGAGAGTGAAAGTTTCATAAAAATACGACTTCAATGAACACAGTTAGTTATTAATGAGTAGAGTGTCATTAAGCTTCATAAACATTTGGTTACAGATGACCTCATTCATCACATTCACGATACTCCTTTGTCTTTGTTTCATTATAAGAAATAATGGATTAGACAAACCACTTTCTGTTTTCGAATTTATGATCGAATGTTAGATTTTCTTCTTTCTGGAAGTTGATATCAAATATGGCATCATCTGTATACAAACCTGTACATATGTATTCGTTTCAAGAAACTGATGGTAGTAAATCATTCGCATATTCTCTAACTAGTCTGGGTTGTAGATAATCACATGTCTTCATGGTCTTCCTTGGCAAAGTATAGGTTCTATCAGAAACCAAAACACCCCTTCCTCATCTTCTTCTGTGAACAGGCTCCAGTTCCATTAATTTTTGCTTGAAATATCATGACTTATTGCCCCACTGAGACAGATTCGAACTGCAACCAGCGCCTGTTCCTTCGTTCTTTTTTGATACATCAGCATATAGTTCGAACAGCTGGAGAAGTTCTATCATGAAAGGGAGAGCGTGAAGGTATTCAGTCCTTGCAGCCTTTTGGAGTTTTCCAGATAACTCTGAGTTCATTAATACTGATGGTTGCACTTTTCAATTGATCATTTTTAGTGAGCGCCAAAAATTTCGTTTTTGAATTGACAGTGAGCTGATGATCTCAACATTCATATTTCGCTCTGTACTCACAATCTTTCCTTCGGTCACCTTTCAGAAGCCAGACCATACTTACCCTGATCGAACAATCTGTGCTTGAACAGTGAGGACGTGAAAAGTCCTCCCCCCCCCTTTAATATTTGAACGGAACGAGCTAGCGAGGTCGAGTAAAATTCAGGCAGGAAGGTACCTTCTTTCACTACAATTTGTCATAAAAATGGTTGTGGTCACGTGACCTAGTGTCAAGTGGGCACCATCAACTTTTTTTTCCAACTATAAAGAGGAGTCACGTGGTACATTCGTTTTGATGGATATAACACCGCTTTGTTTGTACAAATCGGCCAAGCCGTTTCACAATGACAAGCGTTTGAAATTTGCTTCAAATATTAATATCAATGAATAAAGAACCTAAATAACCTTCAATTGCGACAGAATTTCAAGTAGGAATTGTAACAAGTGCTTGAACATGCTCGAGATGTTCATCATTCATTTATTGACACGAAAAAATAGGTTTTGTGATTCTAATTGAATCGATGTTGGGTCTACTCCTTTCGGAAGGTTGCTACCGTTGTGATCTATGTATACATATGTATCTGTTTCAAGAAACGAATGATAAATCATTAACATAGCTCTGAACTGGCCCTGTTCATATTCGGCACATACGTTGATGGTGAAATTGGGATTGTTTTGGGTTCTTATGAACATATGCTTCAATTCAATGAATTCCTGCTTGAAATATCATGGTTTATTGCCCTATGAGACAGAATTGGACTGAAACCAGCGCCTGTTCTTTCTTTCATTTTTTATCCGTCTGACGTTAGGACAATGTTTTTCCTCCCTACACTTTTCTTTTCAATTTAGCAAGACGTGATATATAGTTCAATCAGCCAAATAAGTTCTATGACAGAAGAAAGGTCGTGAAGGCGTTCAGTCCTCGGATCCTAGGGTATAAAACCAATTCGGTTTTGCAGATGAAGTCGATTTCGAGTCATAAACGATACTACTGACTACATCTTCAAATTGATCATTTCTAGAGAGCACTTCAGATTCTGCTTCGCGATTGACAGTGCGCTGATGATCGCAACATTCGAATTTTGCTCTGGGCCCATATCCTTTCTTGGGGTCATCTTTTAGAAGCCAGACAATACCTAATCAGCTTATATGTATGCAACATCATTTTGTAGCTCATTATCTGTAAGTTGACACTCACCTGCGATGAAACACTGTCCAGAAGCCGACTTGCACTCAGGATGCTTGTCGCTCTGCGGCAGGAGATCCTTTCCTCTCACAGGATGCACGGTCGCATTCATCTTACCGAACTGCCCCTTCAAATCCCTGAGAACGCAGTGGTTCTCGCCGTAAACCTGGGAGGCATCCAGGAAGGCCGTGTTCTGGTTCACTTGTTCCCTGGGACCGAGTCTCTGCTGGCCGGGCAGCGACCTCATGAAAGGGAAGCACATCCTGGCACCCGAGGTGATGTTGATTTCTGGGTAGAAGTGGTCACCAGGGGGCACTGGGAAGGGGTTGCACTCTGGGTGGACGGTTCTGGCACTGTCGCAAGGTCTACAGTTGGGGATGGACTCGAAGAAACCTGCAGCAGAACGATGGATTATTACAAAGTGTACCAGACATCTATAACGGGTTTCCCAATAAGAGGTGTTATTTTGAATAGCTCGCTATTTCAGTAGATGTCACTTTTGAGCTGTATTTCATTGACATCTGATAAGTAGTAACGACGTCATCAATGAAAATGGAACGATACACGCTCCAATAACGCATTGAAATAATTAAATTTAACTAGTGACGTTGTGAAAATTTGGTAGAGACGATTCGTGAAACTCAAACATTTTTGGGTCGTCGTGAAGCACCTTGTCGGATCACAATACAGAAATTGGTAAAAAAATTTGAGCAGTTGGGACAACTTAGTGATGTGAAGAATGAAACCCAAGAACGTCGCTCAAGAACAGCCAAGAATATTGCTGCTGTAGGCGGAAGTGTTGCAGTAAACCCAGGTTTGTCCATTCCTCGTCGTTCTTTGGAATTAGGCATTCCACAAACGTCATTACACCGTATTTTGCATAAAGATTTGGGTCTTAAGGCTCATAAAGTTCAGTTAACACAAAAACTCAAGGCGGCCGATTATCAACAACGTCGTGTCTCTGCTGATTGGGTTCTTGAAATGTAGAGAATTATTTGGAATTCCATCGAAAAATCATCTTGAGTGATGAGGCCTATTTCCACCTCGGTGGCTTCATCAACAAGCAGAATTGTCGCATCTGGGGCTCGGAAAACTCAAGAATTATTATTGAGAAGTCTCTTTATCCTCAACGTGTGACTACTTGGTGCGGTGTATGGTCCGGCAGAGTCATTGGACCTCAATCTTTTGAAAATGAGGCGGAAGCAACAGTTACGGTGGATGGATTGCGCTATCGAGAAATGATCAATGATTTTTTATGACCTGAATTGGATAGTATTGATCTGAACAACGTTTACTCTCAACCAGAAGGCGCTACCTGCCACACAAGCAATAAAACCATTGATCTTTCATTGGGAAAATCTTCCGGAGCGTGTTGTGACTCGAAGAGGTGATCACAATTAGCCACCGAGATCTTGTGATTTAACACCTTGCGACTTTTTCCTTTGGGGCCATGAAAGAGGAGGTCTACGCCAACACCCCAGCGTCGATTCAAGACCGTAAAAATGAAATTCGTGAGGCTATCGAGGACATAGGGCAGCCACTTTGCGATTTGGTTATGGGAAATTTCATGCAAAGATAATGGTCCTGTAGTCGTGGTCGTGGTGGTCATTTTGACTGATGTTATTTTCCACTATTAACGGCATACCTTCCTCCTTATAATGAAATTAACATTTGATCATTTATATTAAAAATGGCATATTTCTATGAATATCAAAAATAACACCTCTTTTTGGGAAACCCTTATTATAATTAAGGAATAATCACACACTATACTCTTTTGCCACTAACTAGACTAATTTTTCAATCACTTGAAAAGTGTTCCGCTATAAGTATAGGTAAGCATATTCAGGAGAAAAATGAATTTCTATATCATATTCTAGAATGCTGCTTATATACTAAGTAAGTTGACCTAACCGTGAAAGACACTAACGGAGTGACTAGACTAAGCCGATTCTCCAACATTTCGATCACTTTTCCAATGTTGAACTCCTGAAAATTTCTGCAGGTGACCTTGAGAGAGCCAATTTCCCAATTTTCAACCTCAAATGTCCTTATGAAGATTAACATGGGAAAAGTGGTCAAAGTCGGATAATCTGCATAGCATATTCACTCAACTATGCAGTCGATGTCAATCACGGTTGAGTTAAAATGCTAATCCTACTTCCTTATGTGCAGGGTTGGAATAAAGTATAGAACCTGTATAATAATATATTCGAAACAAAAAGGACTACATCTATTACACTTCGTAGACAAGTGCAATAACGCAAGATGCATATGATGTGATTGTTTCTGTTCATAATGTTCTTCCGATTCAACCGGTTATACACTCAACTTCCAATAGAGGACACCCTGTATTTTCCAGTGAATTCCGATAGATGCTCGCCCTCCACCTACTGACAATATGCAAGCCTATTAACTGATTTCTGAATCACTCCTATCATGATTTTTTCATGGATCAGTTCACATACATCAATGATTTTGTGTTTCACTTCATTTCTGTAGATCACAATTCACACAAAAAAATTTCAACACTCACCCGCTAGACAGAGTATACCCATTGATTTCTATTACTAAAAGTGCTCCAGTTTTCCGTTTCTACATAACATTCCCACCCAACCCAGTAGGTACGAATTTGGAGAACCAAGATTTATCAAAATTTCCAGAAATATACAGGGTATATCATTCAAATAAAAGAAGATCAGTACTGAAAAAACAGCATTCATTAGATGCATTTTGCGTTATTTACTCGTCTGCAAAGTTTTTAAAATTTTTCATTCGCGTCTCAAAGATATTCACTTCGTTCCATACTTCCTCACAACTCTGTATATGATACGTAACCACAGATATACCTTCAATTTTGATTTCATTCACCGCTCTTTGGAAAAATTTCTGCGGGTTCACATGGTCATAGAACTTTTTGACTTCTGAGCTTTCTCAAGGGCATCAAATCCGGTTTATGTATCGTTATCTTCGTCAATATGGGTACTAACCTTTATGAATAGGTGTCATAGTGAGATCATGGTCCAAGAATTGAGCAAACTGCATTGTCATCAAGGTATAACGATTGTGTAGATTACTGATATCAGGATGAATCACACGAGAAACTACACGTGGATTTGGCAGTGGGGTACCAGTAACACCAATAGAACGTGGCTTAGAAATACCTAAAATCAATAACAAAATCCGTATTATTTCTCAATTAAATCATAGAAAATATCCTGTTGAAAATAGGTGTTGAAAGACTCACCATCGTCGTAAACACTTGGCAACAACCTGTTGAAAATAGTCAGACTTTTTCCATAAGTTGGATTCCTTAAATTATTACAATGGCCGGTATAAGTTCTGAATGGACTACTAGGATCACATGGTCCATTATCATCACAGTGGACATCGACATCGAAGGACTGAGAAGGAAGCAAGGATCCCAGATCGACTTGTTGCAGAGTATCAGTTAGTTCATCCCTACAAATGTGTTAATGATCAATTCATACTGTTTCAATGTATAGGTACTGATGTTGTGACATTACCTGAATATTGATGGGATGATATTTTCATCGAAGAGCTGTCGCTTCCTTCTGCGGTGTAGTATACTATTAACGATTTCATTGGAAGCGAATTCAAAGAGCAATGATGTATTGGCCAGCTGCAGTGCACCTTTGTTGGCTTTGCTGAAAGAAGCTGCACTTCCTTGGCCAGATTTCGGGTTGACACCTCCAACTATAAAACATATTATAGCATTCCGTCCCAGAACTGTAACAATATTACTTACCCGTACTCCAAACCCTATACTCCATCTTCCTTCGTTCTAACACATCACGCTCAGCCTTATCTAAAGCATCCATCAACAGATCCTCTGACAAATCAGCCATATGGTCCATCACCACCCATTCAGAGATCTGCGGCAAGGGATGCTGATCACAGGAAATCCTGGCATTCAAGTAGGTATCTTCTTGGACGAAAGCTTTTGGTTGGATCTTTTCCAAGTCATCAGTATTGGCGCACAATAGTCCGGCGATAGTTATCTTCTTGATCTCTTTGAGCTGACCAGTAGATAAAGAGCTTGGAGGGAGATCGTTTTCGTACCAGAATCTGTCTGACTTCTTTAATAGCTTGAACTGTTCTTTCAAGAGGCAGTTGAATGTGGGGCCCATCATCGCTCCTGGGATTGGTTTCTCAAGTATCGCACCAACCAATAGATCTATGTCTTGTGGGCTCCTGTACAAATATTTCAAGGCTTTTATAAACTCCGCTTTGATTCCGAAATTTTTGAGATCGTCGAAAGTCATCGGCTTCTTGCTGGTCGAGTTGGTACAGTATTGTAGGAATTTCGGGTACGATGGAATACCGTGATCCCGTCCCATGTGGATGAAAAGACTAGCTGTGTCCCAATCTTTGCGCACTGGGACGTTGATATGCAGACTTGGATTCTGAGAGGCAGTGCTGATAAGGAAATCGACCATTTCGGCAAACGTTTCAGCAGTTTGGTTAACCTTAAAGATAACGCTAGTTTATCACTCGCTAGTTTCAGAATAAAATATGATTGATGTTTATACTTCTATTCGCCTTACCAAACTATTTGGCAGTGTGGATAAGAGAGCTGGTAAAGCTGTCATTGCCACTTCGTTGAAGACACCTGCTCGTTCAGCGCTCGAGTATTTTGAAAACCGTCCATGAGTCTTCAGTTCGAGCTCAGAATGAACAATGGCTTCCTGTGAACAATTTGATGTATCATAATCGTTGTTATCAATGAATGACCCAAAGGTGGGTGTAGACAGTGCATGAGCAGGGAACTAAGCATTTGTTTCAAAAACTTGTTGGAGGTGTTTAGAGAGTGAACATACTGGTTATCCTGAGCTGGAGGAGTGGGAAAGAAAGTAGGAATGAGCAGGTTCCAATCTTGGATTTATCGCTTATATGTCTGAAACGGTCCGTCATAGAGAAATTAGAGCTGATAATATATTCTTCACAAATGTCTCTCCTTACATTGTTCCGAATCTCCTACTTTTCATGATCTCCACGATCAGGAAAGTGGAAATTCTTCAATGAAAGATTATTTCACTTCTATTATCAACCTACCTTCGTATCAGCGGAAAATTATTTCAAGAACGGTGTGGAGAATTGAATTATCTCCAAAAATATATGTACTTACTGGGTTATCTATCGAAAAGACTCACGTTGATTTTCAAGAAAGTTGAAGCGCAATAAGTCATTTCCATGGACCTAATCAACAATTTCACAGGGTTATGCCTAAATACATGAGGAACCATGAAGACGATTTCGATTGCTTAAACCCCTACGACCCGAGACACCTTGCTGCTGAAACCCGGAATGAAAAAAATCGGAACAATAACATTGTTCGACCAGAAGATGAAGCACAAGAGGGGCTAGAATTTTCAAAATTGCACTTGAAATATGAAATCTTCAAGAAAGCTTCAGAGGTCTTTATAACCATCTTAACTACACTCACAGAGAGATTGAAGGGGCTGGGTAAATGTGCTTCCTGAAATGATATGGACCACCAGCAAGACAACCCTCGCCCTCAAGTAGTCAGGTCAACCTACCACAAAGTTCAGCAGTGACTTGGGAATAAGCTGTCACCTCGAAAGTAACGTTGAAAGTATGGAGGATACACTCTGGCTCCAATGACAACCAGACGTTCTACTGAAAACGATATTTTGCCACTGCATCAAGGATTGTGGGGATGGCAAATGTGGATGCCAGAAATGCTGAACTGCTCTGTGGCGTGCCTCTTTCTACTGCCAATAAAAGTGTCCCAACGGCGTTAATGTTGATGAGGACGACGACAACGACAACGACAAGGACGACGATGAAGATGACATTGAGTCCCTCTAGCAAGAGGTATCAAACACTGAAGATGCTTTGAAGACAGAACAATTGCGTAGACCCATACGGCCAATGAGGGTTGAACCGTTAATCCAGCAAAAGTGGATTGTTCGGAATTATTAAGATATACAGAGTGAGAACAATGGGAGTAAAATGACCTAGATGTGACTCTTCTCATTATGGATGGACTTCATTGAGACGAATGGACCAATATATTGTGCCGTCATGAGATTAACTGTCATTAGCTAACATTTCCTATCGTTCAGCTGCTGAAAACCTTGAAGGAATCTTTGAGCCCGAAAGATTCCACCATTATGCCTAGAACGAGGATACCTTTCGAGCTCAAAAAGGATCCTGCCAAATTTCCCACGACGATTGAAGGATGCCTATCAGTCGTCATTCAATACCCCAAGAAGCCAGAAGTCCCACCAAGAAGAGTCTGATTACAATGCAGTTGAATAGCCAGTGCTGGACTAAGTAAGGGTGTGAATGTGCATTGAAGACACTGAATTTGTGAGTGTTTGAACTCAATTTCCAAGATTAATTTGGTTTTGTCACTGGAGTATTTCAGGTATAGGTTCTCCTCGATATATTTAGGTAGGTATCAATTTCAAAACTGGGGTCCACTTTTCTCGGAAAGGGGGTCATGTCACGAGTAGCTCATACGGTAAATTAATATTTTCGAACCATGAGGGTTTCATAAACAATAAATTCAATGAAATCATCCGTTGACATTGAACTATGGAAACTGACCAAGGAACTCTCATGAGAATCGTGCTAGTCTAATAAAATGATGTATAAAAATAGTGGATGTAAGGGTTCCGAAGTTAGTCTGGTCTGGGGTTACTCTTGACTTTACAAGAACTCGTCGTGATGGTCGTTATAATGTAAGTTGTTATCAGGTCTTCATATCCATTCTTGTTTATTTATATTTGTCATTGCTACCCATAATGTTGCATGCTTTAATAAATAATATATATGTTTCAATATAGTCTCGTACTTTCAATTACCCCTAAACTATTAATGCCTATTCGAATATTACCTCTCGCCATCTATTAAGTCAAGCATTACCCCTTATAAATCGATATGGATGGAATAACCAATCTATCATGTCGTGACAAATAATATTTGTCGCCTAGGAATGTCTGAAAATCACGAATTCACGGAAATTCTTGAAAATTGGTGTAGCTGTTGACATCATATTTTGGAAAGAAATTGAATTCTCTATTACATTTTTTCAAGGAAACGTTCAGTTCGGACGATGAAGAGAAGTGTTTGATGGAACATGAAAGGAGATAATCAACCAGATCGTGCTGCTAAAAAACGGTTGCAGATTCGAAAAAAAGTTGTGCAAAATTCTATCAGATCTGACTTGATATCATAAAATGTCAGGCGTCAGGAGTGTCAGTGAGTATATGTTGACTGCCTCAACGACTCGAACAAGTTAATATAGAAATCACTTAGGTTCCCGCTCACGTACTCTACAACCCTTTCATTGAGTGGACTATCAGAGGAAGAGAAAAGATGGCGGTTCTCACCTCCCCGAGAATGATCGGCAGGTACTCGTTGTACGTGATGTGCTGTATCTCCGCGATGACGATCCGTCTGCTCTCCAAGAACAGGGTCTCGTCTGGCCAGTGCCTGTTCAACTTAGCCAGGTCCACGGCCACCCTGTTGTGCTCCTTCAAGATGGCGGAATAGAGGGCGTTGGCGCGGCAGGCGGCGCATGCTGACACGTTGACGAGGCCGGCGTCGTAGGTGCGCAAGCTGTCCAATTGGTTGTCGGTATGGCCGTAGATGGCGCTGCCGTCAAGGAAGGCGCTGGCCAGGTTCATCTGGTTGCGGTATTCTGGAAATTATGGAGATGATGAATCTATAATCTCAATACTGGGGGAGATTTATGAATCGATTGTCAGCTGATGCAAATCCGACTGTTTCGGCTTGTAAGGCCTCATCAGTGGCACTAGGCCAGCTCACAATCGATTCACAAAGGGTACTGCTATATAGTGGGTCTAACAGGCTAATGGTGCATGCCCTTTTTTCCTTCAGTTTCAGAGAAAAGTGAATGAAATCAGGAAAGGACCTATAAACTTTATGAACGTCACGTTTCGACATGAGAAGTCTTATTTTCCACTTCGAAAACGTAACGGATAAACAGATAATATGTTCATGCTCTTGCTCAGAGATTCAACATGTTTGGTCTCACCATGTCTCACCCAACGAAAATAAATTGGATTATACAGGGAACTGTAAACCCTAGTTGAGTCCCAAAAGACACACCTGGGAAAATGGTGGATAGGCGGTATTCGCCCCACTCACATGAAACTTAACACGTTCACCGCCAAAACAGTTCGATATATGAGTTACTCACGATTATCTGCTATACCGCCGTCTAAAGTTTTAGCCATTAGCAATATTACTATTTTATATGATCCTCATCGGAACCGTCTACCATAAACTATAGTGGACTTATATTTTGCAGTAATCTATATGTATATAGGAATTTTGATGGAAAGATCATTGAGGGAACAGTCTCAAGCAAACAGGTATACAAGGGCTATGTCCAATAATGGTATTCTATTTTGTCATATCATCACTGCATGGAAAGTCGATTAGGTTTGAAGAGGCTAAAGGTTGTCCACTGGGTGTGGTACTTTTCCCCATATGTAGTCGTTCATAGTTGACTTTCTGCTGAATGAGCTTTCCATGCATGGGGTGGATTTCCAATGCTATGCAGATAATTCAGTTCTAATAGTAAGAGGAAATTTTGGAGCGATGATCACATGATTGAAACGTTTTCGCGTCCCAGTCGTCTCGCCAGTACGGCTAAGTAAGTGAAAAGGGGCGTCTAGGCTCTTACAGATTTTGCTTTTCCTACAAAACTATTTGATTGATTGTGGAGGCACTAACTTTATAATTTCATTTATTAACATGCTCTAAATATGCTGAACAAACATTTGATAGAATTGATTACCAATTTCTAATATTTCGATCAAATCTTGCATGCCGAGGATATGATATATCATATATCATAAGAATGCAATCACAACAAAAAACTATTATAAAAATATATATTGTTTATTATTCACTAGTAGTAGAAGTTAGTTGAACTTCCTCTTGGTGTTTGCATATTTATTTATTTATTTATTTATTTATTTATTTATTCAGATTTCTGATACATACAGGTATAAACCCAAAACAGTATCCACTGATACATATACATATCTCATAGTTTACAAAGATACAATAATAAACTCAAATTGTAGATATTCTATAAGTACATTACAGGTATAGATTACATAAAAAAGATTTGTTTGGCTCTAGTTTTGAAATGAGACAACGACATACAGGAAATTTCCATCTCCGAGCAATATTTATTGAAGTTATCGCTAAGCCTAGGAATAGGAGCGTTTTGACCGAGGTTGGTGTGTTTAAAACTCACATTGAGAAATTGTCTATTTCTTGAGTTTATGGATGGTACGTGGATATATACTAAGGATAGTAATTCGGATGCTTCATAATAGTTCTTATAAATTTTAAACATAAAGACCAAGTCCGAAATAATTCTTCGTTTTTCTGATAATAGAATGTTGAATGTTATCTTGCTGAATGTAGATTTTCAATGTTGTAAACACCGTTTACTCTGAAGTTTAAGAATCTCATGAATCTATTTTGGATTCTTTCAAGTCTAATTTTATAGAGGTTATAACGAGGACTCCAGATGACACTGGCAAAGGTCAATCTACTATGTACATAAGCAAAATATAATGATTTGATGGTCTCTTGCTTCTTGAAAGTTCTACAAATTCTACTAATAAATACTAACATCCTGCTACATTCGTTTATGACATATTCGCAATGTAAATTAAAACTCAACCTATTATCAAAGATGACTCCTGAATCCTTAATGTGATTTACCCTGTCTAGATTTCTCCCAAGTAAATTGTAATCGAATTCAATTGAATACTGATTTTTTGTAAATGAAATTGTCGAGCATTTATTCAAGTTGAGGAACAATCTGTTACAGTTGCAATATTGAGAGAATCGACAGAGGTCTGATTGTACGTTTAAACAGTCTACATCAGATTTTATTTTTGAAAATATCTTCAGGTCGTCAGCGTACAATAATATTTTGGAAAATTTAAAGCATTTTTTTACGTCGTTTATAAAGATTAAAAACAATAAAGGATCCAGGTGAGAGCCCTGCGGTACTCCCGATGTTACTGCAATACGTGTTGATTTGAAACCATTTATTGTCACAATCTGCGATCTATTGAAGGCGTAGGAGGAGAACCACCGCAGAAGATCGCCATGTACACCGATTTCAGTAAGTTTGGAGATGAGTATATTATGATCAATTTTATCGAAAGCCTTACTGAAATCCGTGTAAATTGAGTGTACTTGGGTTCGCTCATCCATAGAATCAGCAATGTACTGACAGTATATCATTAGATTCGTTTCGATTGCTCTTTTGGCAAAAAACCCATGCTGCTCCTCGTTAATCAAACCATTTACGCGACTGAACATTTGATTATAAATAATGCTTTCCAGAAGTTTGCTAAATATACATAATTTGCTGATTCACCTATAGTTGGTGACGGAGCTTTTTTCTCCTGAGTTTTTATATATAGGAACCAAATATGCGGTTTTCCACATTTTAGGAAATTCACCCTCGGCTGTAGATAGTTTGAATAACAAAGTGAGAGGGATGTATAAGCTATTTGCGCATTTTTTCACAAAATAAGCTGGAATGTTATCGAAGCCACTTGCTTTATTCTCATCTAAAGAAATTATCTTGCTCAGGACAAGTTGCTCCTCGAAATAAAATTTATTTATCAGTATATTGTTTGGATTCGGTGACAATTTAGTTGGTATTTGTTGATATGGCTCATAAACGCTTTGAAAGTAATTTGCAAACATATTGCAAATGTCATCGCCTTTTGATGCCTGCTCATTATTATAAGTCACTAGAGAAGGGATTCCTGTACCATGTTTTGAGTTCGAAGTAAATCGCCAGAATTTTCTCACGTCTACTTGTATATCATTATCTACATTTTTCATATATGTTCCATAATCAATTCTTATTATCTATTTACTACGACGTCTTAAAAATGTAAATTCATCATAATAAGCCAAATCATGGTAGAGTTTCCATTTCTTGTGAACTTTGTTTTTTGTTTTATACAATCTATGGTGGGTGTGGTGAAGTATATGGGATATTTTTTATTCCTTACGAGTATTTTGGGTACGAATCGATTTATAGCTATTTCTAATTTCTCATAAAATATACCCAAAGCACTGTCAACACTATGATGAGCAAACAACTCATACCAGTTCATCTCGTTAAAATACGCATTGAGTTCCATGTAACTGGCTCTTTTGAAGTTATAAAATTTACTATGATTTCTATTCATATTATCAATCTGAGTGCTCTCTACATGGAACTCGATTGCTGGATGATGACTATCCATTAGTGCTAGTAATGAATCACTCTCACACAAATTATGAATTGAATTATCAATATTACAAAACACTAGGTCTAGAGAGTCTACTCACCAAACTTGCAGTCCTCCTCGTCCAGCGCAGGCAACGTCCTCATGTACTCCTTGCATTGCCCTCCGCCCAGCTTGCCCATGCACTCCGCGTGCCTCTTGGCGCCCTCGCCGCAGCAGTCGAGGCTGCGCAGATTGCCTGTGCCGGCGAGGTCGTGCAGCAGCAGCTCGCTCCACGCGCCCGCCAGGGCGGTCACCGACTCGTGGGCGGGGGCGGGGGCGGCCTGCAGGGCGGCAGCCACGGAAAGCGGGTTGGGGAGGGGGTGCGGAGTGACGGACTGCCTCGGCTGCGATTTGCCTGAAAAGAAAATGATAGATGTTTCTTTAGTCCATAGACAAGAGTCGATAATTTTTTAAAGTGAAAAAAAACATAACGAAAACGGAAGAGAACATAACAAAAAAGGAAGAAACATAAATTACGGTCGATCTAAGATCGGGGAGTGGAGGCGGTGAGCTTTCAAGGGTACAAAAGACGGTTGATCTCGATTTCTGGTAAAAGTTGTGAGTAATGAGAAGATCTATAACTCTTGTGGAAACACTTTTCCCATATAACTTCGAGAATAAAGTGAAAAATTCAAACCAAGTTGTTGGTTTATTGTTTTTATCTTTGACAAAAAGAATTTCTCCTCAGAGAATTACGCGAAAACTCACCTTCCTATGTCCAAACAATACTCTGAGAACATTCACCATAGTTATGTATATTATTTTCATACCATCAGAAAGAAAGATTTCAACAAAAAGAAGAGCCCATCGACTCCTCTAAAGAAGCTAATATGTTGGCGCGAGTATTTTCGATAGAAAATTGGGGAGCTTTCTCGATATTGAGTCGAAATGAGGTGGAAAAATTTATATTACGAATGAAAAAAAATCACAATGTAATTGGGAACTAAAGAGGTTTGTTTCTACAAAATTTCGTTTTTTTTTTGTAAAGAAAGGAGAAAACGAAAATTTGAATTCTTCACATAATATTGTGAGATTATTTGAAAAAAGTGGATATTAAAGTTAGTGATCTTTTTATTACCTATAATATTTTCTCATTTATTTTTTTCTATGAAGCTCGTAGTTTCGCAGGAAATCGAGATAATCCGTTTTCAACCCTTGAAAACTTACCCCCTCCCTATTCCCCTTCATATTCATTGTAATAATCTCTTCCTTTTCCGATTGGTTTCATCCTCCCTTCTTTTAAACTTTTGTCATAGGCTTCAGCATCGGTCTATTCAATATACGTGATGCTCTCTTTTCTTGTCTTCTCTATTTCTTCATCCTACTTCATTCGCCAATCTTTCTTCTTCCCATCACTCTCTCTGCCCCTCTCTGATACTCACTATACTCGAATTCTCACCGAGGAAAAAAAATCTATGTGTGCGCATTAAAAATTGGTCCTCATGACTGGAATAATGGTTGAATGGGAATAATATGACACAAATACGTTTTATACTACACCTTCTCCAGATGTATTTCAGAAAGCGTCAATTCAATTTCAGAAAGCATCAATTGTATTTCAGAATAGTCAATTGTATTTTAGAAAGCGTCAATTGTATTTCAGAATAGTCAGTTTAATTTCAGAAAGCGCCAATTGTATTTCAGAATAGTCAATTCAATTTCAGAAAGCATCAATTGTATTTCAGAATAGTCAATTCAATTTCAGAAAGGGTCAATTGTATTTCAGAATAGCCACTTGTATTTCAGAAAGCGTCAATTGTATTTCAGAATAGTCAATTGAATTTCAGAAAGCATCAATTGTATTTCAGAATAGTCAATTCAATTTCAGAAAGGGTCAATTGTATTTCAGAATAGCCACTTGTATTTCAGAAAGCGTCAATTGTATTTCAGAATAGTCAATTGAATTTCAGAAAGCGTCATTTGTATTTCAGAAAATATCATTTGAATTTCAGAAAGCGTCAATTGAATTTCAGAAAGCATCAAGATCGATTAGTTAGTGGAAAGTGCACTCCATGTAAGAATGCATAGCATGTTCAGTGCTTCCTGTAGTGATGTTTTCAATTTAATCACCCCAAATTTCTTTTTTATGTACCTTTAGGTACCTATGTACTATTTGATGAACAGATTACAGGATTTCAGGTATAGGGGACTATCATAGATACACTTATTTCTATTGCTATGAAAAAGTTCTGATTTTTACATGTTTGTCCAATAGGAAGTGACTGATGGCTGTTTAATATTGTAAAATAGGCTTCCTAATAACATTTTCAAAATCAAGCTCTGTTGCTATGACGTGAATGTCATGATATTTTCACTATATATGAAGTTGTTTCGCAGGAGAACACCCCGTGGAAAGTGCCTGGCAATTGTATATTCTCTTTCATGATAGGATCAGATTGAACATAAAAAGATCAGCTTTTGTTGAAATGATGTTTTTGCCAGTTTTTTTTTCGTACTTTCAACATCCGGTATCTCTTGAAAGCCCATTCAGTACTGAAGATTTTCAACCCCCAAAACGATTCTATCGAATAAGATATAACACACATAGAAAATATCAACCTTGTTGAAATGATGTCTGGTGGTCGCTGGCTTCCAGTCTATACATAGAGAACGATTTCTGAAATTCAATTGCTTATTCTGAAATACAATTGATGCTTTCTGAAATTCAATTGACGCTTTCTGAAATTCAAATGATACTTTCTGAAATACAAGTGACTATTCTGAAATACATTTGACGCTTTCTGAAATTGAATTGACTATTCTGAAATACAATTGACGCTTTCTGAAATACAAGTGACTATTCTGAAATTAAATTGACGCTTTCTGAAATACATCTGGAAAAGGTGTAGTAATGTAGGCGCATAATGCGATTGTAGAGAGTTGACGTAAACGTAGAAATTGACAGCTACGCATGCGCATTTCTCGTTTTTCTACGTTCGAATTGTTAGTTGGTGAGTAGTGGGCTCAACCAGGTATTCCTAGCAAATGACAAAATTGCATTATAACTATACTATACTCCATCGGAACCTATAATTATTCACAAAATATCTTATTATGCCGCAAATAATTATTATTTACAACCATATATGTGATGTTGTCATTGCTAACGTCGTTGAAGGTTGGGAAGTGTCATATTACACACCTCTACTTCCCGCCCTCAATTTTGTAATATTTCAGATATGTTCAGAACGAAACAGTGATTTATTAATTTTGATCGAAATATGATGGTTGTAAATGAAATAGTATTCAAACCTCGGTAGGAAGTATCATTCCTGTCTCGAGACGCTATGCGTCTCGGTTAACTAACTTATCTCACGCCAGGAATCAATCACTTCCCACCTCGGTGTGTAATATACTTGTCTCTCCATACTCCGAGATTTGAAAAATAATTTGATAATCTGTCAATTTGAAAATCAAATATTTTGTTAGATCTAAATACTGTCTGTAGGTTAATCGAGGAGGTGGTACATTCATTCTTCCAAATTTTTTGGGATTTTCTCTCCTCGTTTCTATAAAATGAAAATATACGTGTAGTAAGGACAAATCAGATGATTTGCCCCAAAATGTCACTGCGTTTAAAGAATTTACCTATCAGAGAGCCTAAAAGAAAAATTTTCTAGCTTGTCAGTGACAATATGTATTGAAAAATTTTTGGAGAAGAGAAATAAAGGTATATAGAAAAAATATCAAATTTTCACTAAAAACAACATATTTTCAATTGGGTGATGAGTTTTATCAACAAAACTTTGGAATGGCCATGGGATCGCCATTATCTCCAATTTTAAGCAATATATTTATGAAGAATTTTGAAGACAACATCATCAAAAATTACCAAAAACAACCTAAAACATGGTGGCGATACGTAGATGATATTTTCATAATTTGGCCTCATAACGTTATGGAGCTAGATAATTTTCTGGATTATGTGAACAATGCCGAACCTACAATAAAGTTCACTTTGGAAATTGAATCTAATAATCAATTACCGTTTCTAGATGTTCTTATTGAAGAATCAAATAACATCTTTGTAACGAGTGTATATCGTAAAAAGACCCATACTAACAGATACTTGAACTTTCAATCAAATCATCAGAACAGTATTAAGAAAGGAATGATCAAATCACTCCATGATAGAGCCAAATCAATATCATCTGACCAACAAATTTTCAATAACGAAGTCCACCACATTAAAAATGTTCTCCAACTGAATACCTATCCAAAAAATTTTGTCGATAGGACGATTCTTCAAATTGAAAACAAACAGGGTCAACCACAACAAAATCAACCATCAATAACGACAAATATAATACCATACATTCCCGGCATATCTGAAAAAATAAAACGTGTTGGTGATAAATTTCAAGGGAAAACTGTGTTCAAAACTGAAAATACAATGAGATCAATTCTAACTCAAACACAGCCAAAAAATGAAAAACAATCGTGAAAAAATTGTATTTACAGTATACCTTTTGTGTTTGTGGAAAGTTTTATACTGGTGAAACCAAGAGACCTCTTTCAGTAAGGACGAAGGAACATAAGTACAATATAAAGAAAAGAAACATAGATAAATCGAAACTAGCTGAACATATCCTTACTGAAGACGGACAACATATGGCAGAGTGGAATAATATTAAAATCATTGGAAAAGAAGATAACAACCAGAAGAGAAAAATCAAGGAATCTGCTTGCAATCTTCTGAACGGAGACAATAGCATTGCTTCTTGTTCAGTTCTTCAGTTGATATAGACAGGACATGGTATTCACTACTAAAATCTGAACATGAATATGGTAAATTCAAGATTACTTAATGAAAACATCCTGTAACTCCTTTGATTGCCAACGTCACCAATTGTCATTGAAAACTGAAAAGCATCAAGACATATTATACGACTTCGCAAATGAAAAAATCTCTTCATGTTGAAAACGGAAGCAGAATCGGTCCCGAAACGTCCAAAGATAAGTGAAAATTTGATATTTTTTCTATATACCTTTATTTCTCTTCTCCAAAAATTTTTCAATACAAATTGTCACTGACAAGCTAGTGAATCTTTCTTTTAGGCTCTCTGATAGGAAAATTCTTTAAACGCAGTGACATTTTGGGGCAAATCATCTGATTTGTCCTTACTACACGTATATTGAAATAATATTCATATTTTTATTTTATAGAAACGAGGGGAGAAAATCCCAAAAAATTTGGAATAATGATTGTTAGATCTAGCTTGATACAGCATTAGGATCCAACAGCACAATGTCGTGAACATACCAGTCGAATATTCATAATGTCAATGATGAACTTCATCAATATTCTGCCAGAATAATTCGTATTATTTACATCCATTTGCTCCAAATGCGTTCTAACTGAACAATTTCTGTCCGAAGACAGTTTAGTGCTGAATCCGCATCTATACAGTGCAATCTTTTTTTGATAAAATATCTTGAGAATCGAATAATTTCGAGAGCATATGGTCAAAAATAATTCGCCATCAAAAAATTGGTTGTTTTCACTAATAACCACATAATTATGATACGCTTCTGATAGAACCTATCGAATTTTGAGCTCAGAATCTGATTCGCAAATTCCAATATTTCAGCGGTTTCAAAAATATCGACTCATTTTTAGCATGCTATTGCATCGACGTAGACAATTGTCACGAAAACTACAAGCTCTATCGGTTCAAAATACGAGTACGTACCTTTCTGAGTGAAATATTTCCAGATATCATATGTGAAGAAAAAAATATTGAAGAATATAGGATTGTTCTTACCCCCAACCCCTCTGGTTTGGTATGCCTCTGTGCCCTAGATCAAAATTTTGTAATTCTGCGAACATATTCTAGTCCAGATTCAAAAGTTTATGATGTGATATACCGAATTCCATGACTTCTAGATGAATGGTTTCGAAAATATTGGTGCTCAGTATGGTGTAAAGTATTCACACTTCCAAGGTACTCAGTAAACATGAATTCACAGTTTTGGAATATATCCCTGTAACTCAAACAGAAGACAGATTCTATCTAGGTAATTTGTGGGTCCCTATATTTAGATGAAATATTTCCGATTAGTATGTATGTTCATGAATGAGGAAATTGGTTGACCACCCAATCAATATACTGGCCATATCAAGTTTACTTTCTCTGGTCCGGCAAGTTACCCACGAGATGAAGAGAAATTTCAATAATATTCCTTCCTCCGATTTTTTCCAAGACACCGAGTCCATTTCCGTATTTATTTGTCACGAAAGTTGAAGAGAATCGCTATGGAACCTGTTCACGGTTTACTTTATTGCCTTTTTTCATCTGAGGTAAGCGGAATACTCGGGGCTAATTGGGTTTCATAAAGCATGAAACCGATTCGATTTTTCACTTGAAACGGCAATAATTTTCGTCGGATATGTGGAAATCTCTAGAGGTTCTTGGCTTTCCTTATTTTGTTTTATTGGGTGGAAGTGATCTGAAAGTCAAGTTGAATGTTGCCAGCTGCCATAACATACATTACCAATTATCATTAGTAATGGGCGAAAGTTGTCTAGTTTTTGTTAAACAAGTAGGGTACATCATAATACTAATCAATTACTAGATATATCATTTTACTGCTAATGCTATTGCGGAATCATTATCTCATTACAATGTCTCACTTTCAATCATTGTAGGAAGGTATGGATGACTGGAATAGGTTTGAAGGATTATGTTCACTCACAAAATGTTATTCATTAATCTTCGAAATTGCATAGTCTTACGACTAGTGTTGTGAGCACGGGATTAGCAAACCCGAGGTATAGTATATCCAATATCAATTGCAGAATATCCCGCACTGTGCGGCGTCGGCGTGTCTGAAGATTCCTTTGAAGTGATTGCAGGTGCAGCAGACGATTCTGCAATTGTTTTTGGATAAACTATACCTTATCCCTGATATTCATCAATTTTAAACTTGTCTTGGATAGTATCCTCTTCACTCTTCAGCTCTCATCATCTTCCATCAGCTTCTCTTGTTCAATTCTTCTTTTTCTCTTTTTCCTTAAAGCCCAAATCCACCATAGTGGGGGGAATGGTGTGGAAAAGACAAGCAGTGGCTGCTCAGCAGATGGAAATCTTTGTTCTGGTCACTCAGATGGGACAGTTTTGTGGACATATGTGTACAAGGATGGGACAATTTGGAATCTGCTCATGTGGCCGCGGATTGATGACCGAGGCTCTGGCAACCTAATCCAAGTTGTGAGAATCCGTGACCAGGTATGAATGAGAACGAGGTTATATGGTGTCGATAACGGCGTCTATGGGGAACAAGGCGACATCTCAGAGTGAACAGCCTTAGCCCGGTGCAGGGGGCACCACAGGGCAGCACCAACTGCTTCCCCCTTTACTCGTAGGAGAAGGCAAAACTTTTGGCAGTGCTCACAGGTACTGTGAAGGTATTTGAAGTGACCTTTATATGTATAATAGCTATGGGTCATTCTAAGATTATTTCCTAGTCCTAATATTCGTTTATCTTCAACTTGTCTTGGATAGTATCCTCTCCACTCTTCAGCTCTCATTATTTTCCATCTGCCTCTCTTGGTTAATTCTTCTTCTTTTCTTTTTCCTTAAACCCAACACCACCATGGTGGAGGAAATGGTGGGGGTAGAACAAACAGCAGATGCTCGACAGATGGAGTATTTTGTGTACATCTTCGTTCTGGTCACTCTGATTGGAAAGTGGGAAGTTTCGAGTTTTGTGGACATATATGTGCAAGATTGGGACAATTCGCAATATGTTTATGTGGCCGCGGATTGATGAACGAGGCTCTGGCAACCAAATCCAAGTTGTGAGAACCCATGACGAGAAATGATTGGCACCGAGGTTATATTATGGTGTCGATAACGGGATCTTTGGGAAACAAGGCGACATCTCAGAGTAAACAGCCTTATCCCTATGAAGTGGGCAATACAGAGCTGCACCAACTCCTTTCCTCATTACTCGAAGGCATGTTTTTGGCAGTGCTTACTTCAGTTACTGTGACTGTGCTATCAGAAGGAATCTTAGGTTAGATAAATATGTCTCTATTATAGAACTAAAAATCATCACTGATTATCTGTGTTCAATAACAATTGGAACATGCAACAGTATTTCTTTTTCCATCCTCATCCTGATATCAAGAACGGCAACGAAGAATCAATTTCGAAAGGATTCTCTCATGTGTATGTTTGATATAATGTGTTGAGAGGGTTTGATTGAGAAATATAGTTATTAGAACTTTCAGATTCATTGAAACCCTAAAACCCCAACCTCGATACTATGCAACCAATGGCGATAATTGGCCATTACAGTCCCAATATCTATGGTGGGCTTGCTATAAGAAACTCAATGTGTCGATGATGTTGTACTGGCCTTTTTCCGGGGAACTGCATGTGATTTCTGGGCACCCGGCACTGGGACCAGCTGCCGGACGCAGTATTCTTATATACTGAGTCCAGCATATATGGGACCATTAACTGGGGCGCTGATGTCAGATATGGGGAGAATATATCAGGCCATCGATGCCCATATCAAAATATTTGCTGGGATAAACCGGGTGTGTCTGAAAAGTGGCTCACTACTATAACTTTTTGTTTTCATAAATAAACAAATTAAATTCGGTGTGTCAGTATAGTTCACAAAGATGCATTATTTAGCGTATTCAATTGTTTTCTGTCACTTCCGGTTTCACTGGAAATGACCTGTCATTTCTTATTTCGAGTGGGACACCCGGTATATTTTTACTCATTTCGTTAGAGAATAACATTGTGAGTACAATGACACCCCATTTGCCACTTCACAACAATTTCCATTCAGTAATTTTCAATGTAGAGTGATTATGATACTGGATATTCATTCAAAATATCGATTATGTGGTATCAACGTGTTTGGAACAAAATACCTTTTCCAGATATGGTGATGAGCGACCCTTGGTCTATTGAAAAAACAAGAATAAACATCATAATTACTGAATTGTCAATTTTGAAAGATCCTGTGAAACGAATGAATGGCAAAGTTTCATAGAAACTATTTTTTCCAGGCAACATGATTCAAAATCAACTGTTTCAACTAATTCATGGCATTCTAGATTGAAAATTGAAAAATAAAAATATCAATATGATAACTAGCTTTTTCGAAATGAGGAAAAATATACCGGGTTTCCCATTTAAAATAAAAAAATATGAGTCATTTCCGGTCAAACTTGAAGTGACAGTAAACAATTGAATACGTCAAATAATGCATATGCATGTTCAATACTCACATACTGAATTTCATTTGTTCAACTGAATAAACAAAAAAGTTATAGGGGTGAGCCACTTTTGAGAAACGCCCGGTATATAAAATAATGATGAACCTCGAACTTGCCCATACATCATGGCGATACCGTTCAGGTGTGACAGCTCGATTAAATGAACGCTTCACCCTGCGAGAACTACACTCACCGTCAGCGTAACTGGGCGGCAGCAGCCTCAAGAACCGGTCGCCCCTGGTGCCCCATCGCGGGTGCCGCACGTTGTTGCACTCGCCCGACGGCCGGCGGAACTTCATGGGCGGGCAGTCGACCGCGGCCTCCGCGCGGCAGTCGGACCCGCCCGCGACCAGGGTCTCGGCCAGTAGCGCGTGCTGTACGATGGGCCGCAGGTCGCCGGGCAGCGTGCGTGTGTAGTGGGCGACGGCGAGGTCGGCCGCGGGCGGCTGCGATGCCAGGGCGGGCAGGACTGAGAGAAGAGTGCATAGGCATAGGGGCAGCCTGGAACGAAAAGAATGCGTGTGAATATTTTACTCGTTTCCAAATACACGTTTTTAATTGATTGAAATATCTGCTGTGTTGATGAGAAAACATAATGTTTTCGTGTTTCGGCTGTAGATTGGCTGCTAGATATCTGCCTGAATAGGCTGTGTTTTCGGTTTTGTATTTCGCTTCCTCATTGAAAGTTTGATCAGATAAAAGGAAATTACCTACATACTATATACAACAGGCTGTCATTGACAAAGATGTCATAATATATTCATATTCAGGAATAAATAGCACCCTGAACGTAAGACAAATATCGTCATAGGCACTGAATTTTAATTTTTATCGATCAAGAATTCTAGACCAACTTTGTTTGAATACATTTTGAAAAAATATTTGTATATCAACATCAACACAACCTCTCGAAACTAGCGTCTAGAAACAGGGTGCATCAAATATGGCGAGCGAGCTGTGCGGAATCAAGTAATACAATAATTTCTCTATCTCTAGTTGCTATATCAAGGTATGGTAGTTGTATAACGCACCGACTGCAAATGAAAATATGACGTGAAATTATTGTTTTATTCATGGGATATTTGGTGAAATAATCTCAGCAAATAAAATTCGTTTTATTGATGATTATCGAAAATCTCTACTCTTCTTCGAAACAAATTATATTGCTTTCAGGCAACATAATCTATTTCTCAGAATCGAAGATAATCATTAATACACTCGTTTTATTACGAGAAAATTTACTAACGCAGATCACCGCATAAGCGCAGTAGTAATAAGCATTCCCCTCCCTCGAAGTACAAGGGCAATCAAAAAGGACATCAGTTCGTTGAGGAATTGTAACCATCAAAATTGTCTTCATTATTGATATTCACAATATTCATTATTCATGATGAACTCGTCATGAAAGTAGCTAATAGGAGTATATAAAAAACCAAGCAAAAAACTTTGTCGATGATTTCCGTATTTTCTTCTACTCTAATATATCCAAGAATGGATTTTCTTTACTGATTGGGGAATAAAACAAAATGTAGCAGAGAAGTCGACATCATCCATCAGTTCAAAGATGAAGTTTTTCAATTCGTTGAATTTCTGTAGGAGTGAATCTGTCAGATCCAGCCGGCATTTAAAAACTATACAAGTGAAAACTCCTAAAAAATAATTAGAATGATAATATACAATATTGTTCAGATGTTTCGAGCTACACTAAATATACATTATGGAGTAATATTGATTTTATGTGATTCCTGATATATCAATATAATATTCACCATTAACATAACGTTGGTATATTTGAAAGAGGCACAAAGGCCCACTTGAATAACATCACAAAGTAACAATGTGATAAAATATCTATGTTCAAGTTTATCTGTTTAGGGCCAGGAGCTATTTCACTACCAGTCAGCTACTTATGATCTATATAAGGCACAGATTCGATCTGTCCTGGAATCTGTTTCCATATTTGGAATGGAGCACCCAAACATACCCTGAAACTGTTGGATTCTGTTCAAAAAATGGCAATTCGTCTCGTGGGTGATGGCTTGCTCACGAACTCATTCACTTCTCTAGAACCCCGTCTAAAAGTTGGCGATCTGGCTCTGTTGTATGAATATTTTCATGGATGATGCTCTTCTGAAATATCAACCATTGTTCCTCCCTTGGCAGCTCCCGCGAGATTAACCCGTCGAATTGAGGCTTCGCACCCCTTCGTGGTCACTTCGGAGACCTGCAGAACATCTATTTCCAAAGACTCGTTCATCCAACGAACAGCGAGACTCTGGAACACATTGCCAAGGGATGTGTTTCCCGAGGCATATAACCTCTAGAAATTTAAGAAGAACACCCATTCCTACCTTATTTCCCTTGGTTCTCACGATGTTCTCTGACCATTGCAGGATATTCCTTTTCGTGGAAGCCAGGACATAAAAAAATTATTGGTGCGCAATGTCTGCATTGATAGAAGGTCCTGCCTTCTATATGCCTCTCTATCCGTTATTCTCCAAAGTTTCATCAAAGCTTCGTTCTTGGAATCATGTCATCAATTGGCTTTCCCATGATGGGGTCGCTCTCCGCCTCTAACTATAGCTTGTTATTGTCTCTAGCGTTCATATAGCTTATGGGTGCTTGACCACTAGACAATCTGCTCAAGACTGCTCTGGTTTCACCTTGGATGTATGTAGTGGCTGGCAGCTTCAAAAGGACCTCTAAAGCTGCTGTCAGAGTGGATTTCATTGCACCAATGGCATTCAGGCAAGCTTGATGCATTTGAATAGTACTGAGCCTTGGAATCACTCCAGTCTGTGTTATACGCCGATCCACGTATTATAATGGTGGAGCCATGTGGTCATATTTGGTTGCAGCAAAAGTGGGTTTATTGGTAATTAAGAACGCATGCAGTTTTGAGATTCATGCTCCCATCACTCGTATGATTGATATTGAATAAGTGATATAAATTCAACAATACGACAATTGCACACATGTTGAGACACAATAAAACGATGTGAATAAGTTTCCATTCTCTATTAGGTAAGATCATAATTTCCTATTTAATGAAAACACAAATAGCCATTACGGTAACTCACGGAAAATCCTTCACTAGATTGAAATATTCGTGTTATTTGCTAATCGCTTGATGTGCTATGCGGATGTCGTTAATTTACATGTCTCTTTATTAGTATTCAGATGTTTTCATCGCACTTAGCAACGTACCGAAATACTCATTGGGGTTTTTTATCACGTCATCATTTCAATTGCACAGTACGTATCGTTATTTTGTAGGGTCCAACAATCATTGAAATGAGTAACAAATCTTATATTTTTATGGAAACTAAGTTAATTCGATAATTAAAAATACTAGATATTGGGTGACAATGGAAGAATTCCAATAATTTTACATTTTGTGTTTCGAATTCCAAAAATACCCAGTCTGCCATCGGGGCTAGAAAAGAATTTCAAAAACTTTTTCCGTGTAATTTCATGGAATGAATTGATTTTCGTTAGGATCGAGATGATTTTACTTCCAAGAATACACACGTGAATCACTCCGCAAGGAGTCTATGACAGAATTTTGGAATATTCTGATCATAATATTCCATAAGATGAATAGATTCTTGTGGGGATTGAGATTCCATCTGGTGATTCAGTTCCTAATGAAATCATGACCTCCCTTCAGAAGTTTTTCGGAAATAATTTTGCGAAATCGAAGTGTATGCAAACTCGATATACCCCGAACAATATCAAAGAGCAGAACATATTGTCACTTTATAATATTTTCTCAATGTCGCTATCAAGCAGGAAAAGGGTAATTGTTCCACCATAGGTTGGTGACGGAGACACACCTTAATTTTTTATTAGAAAAACATAATTCTCAATTAATTAAAGGAATCATAATAAACTGTGAAAGATATTACGAAAAAATTAGTTATACACTATACCCAAGTGACTGAGTCACTTCCTACATGTCAACATTTTTCACTTTAGTTTATTTAATAACCACAAGTAAAATCATAAAGACATCAATCCAAGATTGGCGATTGTTTCTAGACGGTAAACCTGAATAAACGAGCTCATGAGCATAGTTTTTAAAAAAACACATATCTTGAAGTGTACCTACTTCTTCTTAAAGCGGAAATAAAAGTTCCTATACTACATCCTAATATCCAGAAGCATTTCAATGTCAACAAACAAGGTGTTTTAGTTGTAAATATTTATACAGACTGCTTCACCCATAATTGCGAATAAAAAAATTTGAAGAGAGTCTCTTGCAGAATTTGGGGTATTATTCAGACATATTTTGTGATGATAATTATTCGTACTGATACATCTTGAAAAAAAGCCTTATGAAACTACAGTTCTCATCACATGAAACAGATCACGGATACAAACTGTATTTTCAAAAGGAATGAAACAATAGAGCATGTTCCAATATTCGCGAACAGTACTGCCCAGTATATTTTATCGTACCGATTTTACTGAAATTTACTGACAACGTTTGTGCAGGTCATTGCCTCTTACAGGGAGAGGCTAAAAGTTTTTTTGGTGGTCACTGGTGCAGAAATGGTGATGTAGTGTCAGTTTTCATGAAATGTTATATTATGCCAGTTCTTTTGAAAAGCTAAACTTACTCAAAAAATCATGAATATTACGTAATCTGACGTCACTGATTTGATTTTTATGATACCGTGTGACCAGTTATATTCTGACCCATTTCAAATAATGCTCATATCTCTGAAACCATTCAAGTTATCGTTGTGCGGTTCGGTCAAGTCTATTTTGATGTTATTCAAGTTTTTTTTGACGTGTTTATCTTCTCACTTGAACTTCCGGTTCTACCGGAAACAAACAAGCAATAATCCAGGTATACGACAACTTTTTTATTTCATTGAATCACCCTGTATATTTTTGCACATCCAGATAGACTGGTCTTTTATCTATCTAACACTGTATTACAAGTTATGTTCTCCTAGAAAACTATTAGAGTTATAACTCTCTGAAACAACTACTGCTTGTGGAATGGTTTGATGAGAAAATGCAATGTTATCAGAGTTGCCCTATATATACCTGAATAATGGCTTGTTCGTTTTTTTCCGGTAGCACCGGAAGTTCAGGTGAGAAGGTGAAGCAGTCAAAAAACTTGAAGAATATCAAAATAGAGAAGTCCAAACCGCACAACGATAATTTGAATAGTTTCGGAGATATGAACAGTTGAAATGGGTCAGAATATAACTGGTCACCCGGTACAATAGGAGCACTAATCTCTTGCTCAACTCAAACAAACAGATCACTTGATTTACCGCTAAACACAACAATAAATCATTTCAGAACATCTGAGTAATTTTCGAATTTGTTTTGATTTGGTTCTGATTGGGAGTTTTGATCGTTGATGTTGATCGAGAGAAAAGAATAAGTGATTAAAATGATGAAACCGTTGGCATTATTCGCGGATAATGTCCGAATTCGCGTCTATAACCTTGGCAATGTTATGAATTCTACTCATTTTTGCC